TGAAAAAAAGAGACGTAAAAATATCATCATCACCATCATCGTCACGTTACAAAGCCAATTCTTCTCCAGCGAATAGAGACCACAAAAAAATGTATACCGAAAAGTAAAGTTAAGACTTTAAGAATAATGTAAAAGAGGACTCGGTAAATATTATAACGCGAAGGTTACGACGTATTGCGTCACTGAGTATAGAAGTAGTGACAAGTCGCAGAAGATGTTGAAGAAAAGAAAGAGTGAGCAAGGGAGAAAGAAAAGTTTGAGAAAGAGAAAGAGAAAGACGTAAATAAGAAAATAAAAGATCGAGAAAAGTTGGTGGGCCCCGAGACACGACTAAAGTTAGATAGAATCTAAAGATATAACACGCATTGCCACGCGATCACGATTTCGTTGCTCCAAAAGACCAACAAGAGAAGGAATCAAGTGTGAAAAACAAATATAGAATAGGGAAAAATAGGAGGGACTGGGATAAATTCAATTCCGGGGTAAAATCGATTTTCTTCATTCATTCCTTTTGTGTTTGCTAAAATATGATTTAGTAATATTAGTGATGAAGTCATTTGTTTTAAGCTTTTTACATATGACACTTGGCTGAAGGCCCTCGAATGATGGTCCGTTGGAAACTTTACTTGGTCGGTAAGAGATACCTTTTGAAAGAAAGAATAAAATAAAGATGATGTTGGTGATAATGATATTCGGTGCCATAATTGCAATAATGCTAATAATAACATGAGCAATTTGCAGAACTTTTGTCGAGATGAAATAAGAAAATATTGTTTCCAGGAATTCAAACGCTTGTTTATATTATTAGAAATTAATTTTATCTTCTCTTATTCTTGAGTCTGTTCATGACAGATTTTTGGAGCTTTTATGAGACTGTTGGTCTCCAATCGTTTATTAACACTTACTTCGTTCAACTCAATTCGAATCTCAATTATAAATTGTACTCTTTGATTAACTTTCTTTTTTTATAAATTTAACAAATTCTATTCTTTAATTGCTTTTAAAAAATAATTTTACATGGAAATCTGGACAAAGATAATTCAGAACTTTATTTTTATAATTTTTTGTATTCCACACAGAGTTATTATTCGCATAACTTTGTAAAAGTATTTAGTTACATTATTTTGTTCTTAACATTTTATTTTTCCACATTAATTTATTAGACTAAAATTTAAATAATAATAAAATAATAGTATTTTTAATTCAATTAATATAATTATGTACATAGACTAGAAAATTTACGATGAAAAATGTCTAAGAAGTATTCATTATTTCATTTATACTCCAAAACCATTGAAATCTTATCAGAAAATATTTATAAATAAATACAAATATACAAAATGGCACTAAACATAAATAAAAAATAAAATTTGCCATGTAAAGTTAATAATTGAATAAATTTATAAAAATTCTAATTTCACACTATTCTAAAAACTTTATGTGATGATGAATTCAATCATTTGGCTTCAAAATAATAATCTATCGATAAATAAATAATAGCGAGTTATTTATAAAGTTGATTACTGCATTACTGAAAGTGTCAAAGCAAGTAATGCAAATGATTAATATCCGCAAATTCAAACATGACGGAGGTAAAATTGAATAGCTGGTAACACAGATGACTACGAGTGTGTTGGTATGTATGTGGAAGTATTATTTGGCAGGAAACGATTGAATCATGATTGAAAGACGAATTCTCTTGCGTAAAACACGACGCGTGATACGTCGTGTGGTGTCTCTTCGTCACGAGACCACGATCCCGGCGTCTCGTTAGAACAGACAGCCGACACCTGGTTACAGATGTGAGACGAATCGGTTTCCCAACGTGTACTCAACAACGAGAAGCAGTTCTCTCGCGAGTAGACGTCGTGGCGCTGATCACATCTCTAGCGAACACACATCGGATGACGATTATTTTTAGACGCGTGACTTTTCTCAGGGATGCACTAGCACTGCACTATACGAATGTTTCTGTTCTCTTTTCTCTCGACTACCAACTCATACAATTTATTTTCAAACTTCAACTGATGAGAAAAAAATTTATATACTAAAAGATTGAAATATTTTCGGGTTTAAATGATTCTTGGCTTCAAACATACAGTTATATTTAATGCTAAATTTTTTTCAATTGGCTACTAAATCATTTTGTTTAATAATTTTTAATGATTCATTTATTTTAGAATAATTAGTTAATTTAGAATTAGATGGAAGATTGTTTGTTAATGATGTTACTGATAATAAATTGGTTTGAAAAATGAGAAGCATTTAATTTAATCAATGACCAGTGTAGAACAAATGGTCAAGAAAACTTTGCATTAATCAGAAAAATATTTGAATCATGTGAGATTTAAGAAGATGAATGCAAATTATTTTCATTCATAAGCAGGAAAAATTTTTATTCCACCAATAATCGATATATAATATTTTTTTAAAGTTTCATTATCTAAAAGTTCCGAATATTTATTTTAATAAAAAAGTTGTTTTTATTTGGAAAAAATGAAATAAATTTTCATAATATATTGAATAAACGTATTAATATAAAATCAAACTTGAGTTAATTATTATTAACAAATTCAAATGTTTTTTATTATTGAATTTTTAATTAACTCACTTAGTCAAAATTAAAATACTAGTTGATTAAATTCCTAAGATAGCTTTATTAATCATTTTATTTACTCAAAAAAATTCGTCACTATTCAAATTCTTTCACAACTTCTTAAATATTGAATAATTAATTCAAATTTATCGATGAAAAAAATAGATTAGTTAAAGCCATTAAATAATCAACGACACATTAAAGAGAACTGTGAAATATCTAGAATTTTTGAAAATTTGTTTTCTTTGATGTAGAAAACATGATAAAAATGTTGTTTAACATGCAGAGTAATTGGATAGAGAATAGTTAAAATGACATTTAACAAGAAACAGAAATATAATAAAGATTGAATGTAAAATACAGTGTAATATTGAGATTAACGACATAGTGACTTGCTGTTGGACGAATCAGTTTGCGTTGGATCCAAACGAGGCGTCGTCATTTGTGGCTAAAGCGACGCGACGCGCCGGCTGCAGTTGTAGGAGCAGTACGCGAGGTCGTTGATCTCATCGCGGTTGAAACCGCGCGAGAGTCAACGATGAAGCCTCGATCATCGAGTGTCCACTAAATTCTCTAAATAAAAAGCCAACTGTCGAGGAATATTTAAATAGAAAAGTCGATGAAATGAGTTAATTTAATACTGATGCAGTCGAAGATGCACTTGTCACGCATCGAATGCATTAATGATAGAGAAAATTTTACGAGAAAATAGTTATGATTAATATGAGTAAAAGCATTCAGATGAAGAGATTTAGTGACAATGTAAAGTGCACCGACATTCGTTTAATCGTGTAGACAGCTTCGTAAATATTGACTTAATATATTGGTTTGAGTTGTAAAGGTATAGAATGATAGGCATATAATACCAATATATATATGTATATATATGTGAAGAACAAGAGAGGAAGGTATCTATTTCATTCAACCACTTATGTCCGGAGAGAATGAAAAATGTCTTATTGAAAAAATAATGAGTGACGTAACTTGTGGGCGTGACCGCGATGGTGCGTGACGATTAAATGAAAAGTCAATATATAATATACAAAGTTGTGTAAAAATACATAATCTTAAGTAGAAAAAAAAAAACGTCACGCATGCACATGTTGAATTTACTCTACGTATTCGGATAAAAACCGGTAATTGACGTTGAGTATTGCTCTTCATGATGTAATCTTCTGCTCGCGGTGTTGGAACAGTTTTCCTAATGGTTATTGCCATTGATTAATTTGCCTTTTGAGGTGAATTAGAAAATTTCGAGTATTTTTAGAAATCAAGTTGATGTGTTTATTTTTTTTTTTTTTTCGAATCAATTTATACATAGTATAAATAAGCAAGAGAAGTAGGGAATTAATTATTTTCAACGGGTTTTTAACTCATTGGGAATAGAAATTTAAAGGAAGAAAATTTTTTTCTTGAAAAAAATGAAGTAATATGACATTTTTAAAATGATTTTTATATACCAATAAAAAAAATTGGTTAATATTTCTAATTTTTTAAACACTTGATAATTTAGTATTATAATAAAATTAAATTTAAAAAATTCTTTATAAACATAATGGATTAATTTTTAAAATTTTATAAATGTTCTTTGATAAATTTTTTAGATTGAATATCGAGTATTTATTGAACGCACTACTCAATTAATATAGGAAATAAAAAATAATTAACGATACTAAGTAATGTTAATTAATTAAATAACTGCAAAAGAAGAATCATAATTGTAATATTTCATTACTAATTTAATTGAATTAAATGTTAATGAATAAACTTTATTAATTAATCGATATTCTTTAGAAATTATGACAAACAAATATCTCAATATTAAAATTACCTTGTGATATCTTCATTGTTAATCACCAAACATCTTGTTTTTTAAAAGTTAATTTATTTATAAATACTAAAGAAATAAATTATTCTCCCAAAGTACTGCGTATTATTACATTCCAGACATGTAAAAAAAACAAACATTATTTTAGAATATTTAATTACATATTTTTTGTAAAAATAATTAAAGTCTTGTTTTCATTTTTCAACTTAAATTATTATGAATAATCACAAAGCTTTTCTACATTTTCATGAATAATTTATTCATCATTCAGTGAAATATTAAAATACAAAACTATTTAAATTGTTAATGAAATTATTCACCATTAAAGTATTTCGTTCCTTTTTAAAGAAAAAATTCTTTTCTTCTTCATAAGAAAGGCAATTGTCATAATTTCTAATTCTCAGTGCTTAGATGAGAGATTGGTAAAAAAAAAGAGATGGAAAAATATTTACTACGTCACTTCGTATCGAACTGGCCTCGTTTGTCATTCCATATACGTGATGCGAGTTTCTCATTCTCAACAATCTTACTGTATCTTAAAACCATAAAAAAATTATTGACACTTTGGTGTTTCAGAATGTACATTTGGAAAGCAAATACGAGAGCTGGGATCTACGTGGTATGCAGACCTTGGTCCACCCTTTGGAGTAATGTACTGTATCAAATGCGAATGTATACCAGTAAGCAATATTAATTGGAATTTAGTTTTTGTTTAATCATGATAAAGGGTTCAGTTGTCGACCACGTTCCACTTTTTTTTCAATCTTCAAAGTATCAATCATTTTATTTTCTTTTTACCAAAGTTCAATTACTTGTTTTTATTCATTTTCATACATGCTGTATTTTTTCTTTATTTACATATGAATGAACAAAACAATAAACTACAGAAAACTATTTACAAAATTGGTATTTTTCCAACAATATGATTGATATTTTTAAACCATTCTGGCCATAATTACGTCTGTTTTCAATGTAACCATAACTATTTATTGTATGAATAGTCGTCGGAAATACTTGAATAAATTAAAGACAATTGGTAACATAAATGTAAATTTTTCAATATTATTTTTCAATTGATACTTCCTCTTCTTGAAGTAAAACTTTTTAATATTCCTCAGAAATATTTCATATTGCTGATTATTCATCACAAACATTTCAAGTTAAAAATTTATTAACAAAATTTGTTGCTGTCATTTAAAATAATTAACATGACTGTTTATTTATTTAATACTCCCTAAATTATTTAAAATTAAAAAAATTAAATTAAGATCATTCATTCATAAATTTGTCCATAAAGATTATTATGTTTCATGTCTAGAGATTTATTTCAATGTTTGTAATAATCATTGACGTCTTCTTTATATTCACAAACTTCTCTATGATATTAGTCATCATTTAAAAAGTACGCAATAGAAAAATTCTCTTAATTAAAACTTCTTGATAAATATTATAAATCTAAATCAAATACCAATAATTCATTTTGAGAATAGGAGATACTATGAAAGATTGAATTTTAAACGGTATAGATAACTTAACCCTTCACCTCGAATAATAATTGTTACAAGTATAATAAAATGCCGGCCGGCTTGTCTACTCATGCTGCTAACCGTTAGTAACGTTGTCTCTCGGTAAAATTATAAATATCGATGACGTACATGAGGTCGAACGCATATAGTTTGAAATGCTACATGACGACGACGACGACGACGACGACAACGGCGAGCCTCCGCGTGATGCAAGCCACTTCAATGTGCGTTTTATTTTATCATTTATAAATTTCATTAATTATAATTATCATTTTCTTTACATTTGTTTTAGGTACAAAAAAAACGTCGAATCGTTGCACGAGTTCAGTGTCGAAATATCAAAAATGAATGTCCTAAACTGACATGTGACGAACCGGTACTATTGCCTGGAAAATGTTGCAAATCGTGCCTTGGGGAATACAGTAAGTTGTCAACAGGTTTTATAGTGATTTTAAGGATAATTTAAAATAATTCAAGACAGATAGATCGTTAGATAGATAAAGATAAATATAAAGTGTATTTGTGGTGTCAAGATTGAAATAACATCCTTTCTCGAGTAATTTTTATTGCGAAAGCATGACGACATTAATCATTAACTGATGATCAGTCTTGTTGGTATTATCTCGTGACAAGTCATAATTCGTGATCGATCTACACGCGACGTTGCCCTCTCTTTACCGTAATTCCTTTACTCTCTCTTTCATGCTCACTCTTTGAACTTTTATATTTTTTCGAAAGGGAGTTGAGAAGGGTCAATTGTAATGAAATTTTTATTCAATCACAGAGTTTTCGTTTCTTCTTAAAGGTTGTGAGTTGAAATTCTGGCTTAGAGTTTTAAATAATTGGTAAGACAACATGTTTGAAATGCTTACTAAAATATTAGTTAAAATTTGTTGATTGCTAAAAAAGTAAGAGTCATTACTGATCAAAGAAACAGTAGAGTGAAAAACTCATGGTGAATTTAAGCCTTTCAAAATATCATATATAAAATAAGTTGAAGGTTGAGTTTTGATACATCAAGTGCAGTATTTCAGGGACATTTTTTAGTATGCCATTTTTGCGTTAATCGTACATGTTTCATTTTTTGAAATAGTGTAACTAGCATGAATTGATAATAATTCAAGTGATTAATTTAATTAACTAAATTATCTGTCAATAATAATTAAAAACCAATAATCATTAAAAAATCAATCATTATCTATTGATTAAGATGTAAGATAAAAAATAGTAAAAAATATCAGATTAAATAAAGAATGAAATTCACAACATAAATTTAATATTAATTTGATTATTAAATCAGGCAAAATTGTCTACGTGACTGGGTACATGGTCGTAATCAAGAACTTATAAAAATGATGATAGTAATTAGTTTTTTCTTCAAAGAAAAAATTATCGTGAAATTGATGAAATAGTGATGATACTGAACATCTCAAAATAATTCTTCAAATAAAAGTGTACAATTATTGATAAGATGATTCAGTAGTTGAAAAATTTTACATAAATCATAATTCATTTCAATGAATAAAAAAAAAAAAAATATCAATGAGACTCTATCTGGAATAATATTAAACTCTATCAATTTTTTTTCTTTATAATGCACAATCGTTCATAAATTTATTTTTAATTTTATTTATAGAAATTAATTGAACAAAAAAAAGATCATTAGTTAACTTAAATAACAAATAGCTGTTTAATTCGATAAAACGATTCACTTGATTAAGTCGTAAGTCAGCGATATTTTTATGACAACTGTCACAACCACTTGATTCTTACTTTTGTATTTTAACTCACAAAGTCTCACAAGATAAAAATTTCAATAAAATCGTAACAAATGAATATTACATTGTCCATGAGTAATTATATACATGACTAAGTAAATAAAATTTATTACAAGAAAGGTACGTAGGGTAATACCAGGTTTATATCTAGGTGATGTAACGCAATCTATCGAATAACGACAGCTGTCAACTATTGATTAACCTTGCGCTCAGCAATTTGTCGAGCACGACAACGACGCACGTAAGTTGTAATTTTAGATTAATGCCGATGCTCCGTAAATCGGCAATAATGATTGAGGTTTAAATAACGACATAGCATTCGAATAAAATAAACTATAGTAGGGCATTAGAGTCGACAATTGTTGTTTCGAAGCTACAAAATATTCTTAAAGACATAAATAAATAAAAGAGATTAAGGAGAGAACATAATGTAAGTGCCTGTTACGGCAATAAAAGCTAGAGCGGCTATGCAGAAAAGGATTTGAAGTGCGCGTGCAGGAAAACTGGTTTTCCCACTTGAAGAATTTGCCGAATGAGGAGATCCTCATCACCACGATCTCACGCTCTATAGACATTTAGACAAAAAAAAATCATCATTATTATTGTTCTTATATTATTGAGGTAAAAAATGTAAATGACAGACAATAAGATTGAGCACGAGACAATGGAATAAGGAGATAAATGATGTTCATTGTCGAATGAAAAATATATATGTATAAATGGTTAATGTAATTTTATTATTATATATATAGATGTAGACAATATTTATGAATAATTCATTCATTGAGGATAATTATTATGATATTAATATTTAATTTGTTAGCATAATAATTATAATGGTGAGTTTACAGTTCATTTAACAGCTCTATTTATTGAAAACTTGTCTTACATTAATGAACGATAAACCGTGACCTCTTCATCGAAAGCAATCTGACAAGTAGAAATTGGTAAATCGGTTAATTGTTATTGATGGATCGTTTGTTATTGAAAATAGACTTGAGAAATAAAATAGGTGTGTAATGTATTCACTGAGAAGAGAATTTAATCGTGAAGTATAAATTGTAGAGAATGTTGTTTATGAGCGATTGAGAATTATTTATTAGAGCTTTTGGATAATTTTTTCTCGCTTCGACAGGTGTTATTAATTAACGATATTTATTGTTGATTGTATTTTAATTGTTCTGACATTTATATCTTAATTTACGCCAGGAAATCGTGTTTGTAGAAATTTATCGGTTTCATTTTTTTCATAAATCCCTAGACTGACATTATCAGTAAAAAATAAAAGTTTATTTAGATTAATGGATTTTCCAATATTTTTTTTTCGTCTTTTTTTTTTTACCAATAATTCATTATCTCGATGATTTATTCATAGAAGTAGTGAATAAATTTTCTAAAATTACAAACCTCATTCGACAGTGATATTTAAATTGTAGATAATAACCGATTGATTTGAGATTATAAGAAAATCATTTTTCATGTTCTTTCAACATACAATGTTGAAAAGTTGTAGTTAATCACAAATTCATTATTTATTTAATTTTAAATAATAATTTTATTTAAAACAAAAAATTCCAATAAGTAAACTACACATGATATTTTTAAATTGGGATATTTTTTTCTAATTTAACGATGTTGAATTTTTTAACAGACATTGAATAAAAATTATTGCTGTATTTCATCAACAGATTTCATAAAATTTTATGAGTTTTTTTTATCTTTAAGAAATGACTATATGTCTATTGCAATAAAGTTACAATTCTTCACTTCGACATTTTAATTAACAATAAAAAAAAAAGTCCTACTTAGATTGAAAGTGTCAATAAATCAATTCACTTCTTTGAACAAATACTTTCTTTAGTGGCTTTATAATCTATAAATAAAGTTCATTAACAATGAAAAAAATTCTCTCGTTCGTGTAGAAATATAAAATAGTAGTTTAGAAGGAAATGTGCATTACGCACCAGGTTTCTCTTCTTGTCTGGTACGGGTACGCGATCGTCAGCCTTCTTGAGTTCGCGCCAATAAATCAATCGATCTTGTTTCTCTACTGAGCTTCACATTCGTCGTCTGCCTGTCTACCCGGAATTTCTCAAATATATTCTTCGTCTTTACTATCTTCACTTATTCATAGATTTTAAAAATTTCTTTTTAATATGTAATTGAAATAATGAAGAGAATTATTTGTCGATTGAGTGTCGTTCTATGAATCGGTATGGCGTCAAGCATGCGCTGGAGTAAACGCGTGTGCCGGAGTAGTAAGAATAATAGACGGTGACACTTGTAGGTATAAATGAAAAAACAAGTATGTGAAGTGAAAAAAGAGTACTTATATGTTTAAGATATGGCGAAAAGATGAGAAGAGAAGCGAAGAGAAGAGAAATCGGGCGCCACAGTTTAGCGCCATGGCGCCGGTTATATTACCGCATGGCGTCATTTCGATTAAACCGTGCGCAATCTAAATGTAAATATTAGCATGCATAATGATTGAGGGAACACGAACATAGGCAATGAAAACAGTGGAAGGATATGGACAAGAAGAGAGAAAACAAGTTGCAAAAGACGTTCTAGCTTAATACTTGTATATCTTGTCAGAATATGTAGTACATCGGAGTTTTTTATTGTTTAATTGTCAGTTATACTAATTTCTCGCGGACAAATTAATATGCAACATTTTCTTACCGGTACATATTTATTACTTATTTATCAAGGATAATCTTTAAAAAATGTGTTACTGTTTTTTTAATATTTTTATTAAATTACACATAATTACTATATACCGATTGATCAGTATGTCTCCATGCAGGACATATTTTTTTTGTCTGCCGACTATACGTTACACTCGTCTTCTACTTTGTGTGTGCTGCAACAACAATGATCGATAAGACTTTGGAATGATGCCAAAGTAAATTCCGATCGTTCGTTCTCTGCTATTCGATTACTTGATCTCCCTTCGTGACGTACATACATAAATTATTTTACAGATTTATTTAAAAAACAATACTCATTCATTGTCATTCGATAAATGTTCCATTTGTTCTGTCAAACAGGTACGGAAATTGTCCAGGATCTGCCAATGCAGAACGCTGAAGAAGAAGGACTAAATTTAAAATGTGAGTTAATTTATTTTTATGCCGGAGAACCGAAAATAATTAGAGAAGAAGTGTGATCGAAATACGTACATTTTTTTGTTGAAAAATAATTATAGCTTGATAGACAAGTCATTGTTTGGATAAAAAAAGATTTTTGAGTAGAAAAATTTGGTACATGATTAGATGATCAAATTTTCATCATTAATATTTAACTTAAAGACTATGGTGTATTGGATTTAATTATTTTTACAAAAAAATTCATCTATGATGAAGGTTTTTATACCATTTCTCAGTTGAAAATAATTATATAATTTTTTTGCATAATTTTCTAATCAATTGACGTCACTTGAAATTATCAAGAATTTTTTTGAATTTAATATTTTATTAATAAATCATAAATTTAGTTCACAATCATAGCAAATTTTTATTCATTTTTTTGTCTATACAGATTTCGGAACACTTATTAGCGGAAGAACATCAAAACAAATTGTAGATCGTGTCAACGAGTCATCTAACTTAGCTAACAGCTTGACGACACTTAGCTATGTTGCAACAGGTCGTTTTACATTTCATCGTAAAAATCTCTACTACTCATTCTACTTAGGTGCATCAACACCGCGTCCACGAAGCATTCAATTTATTGATAAAGTTGGCAATATTCTCGAAGAGCAGACAATTGATCCAATAGGTGGATATTATCAAAATGCTACTGGTAAATTATGTGGAGTTTGGAGACGAGTTCCAAAAGATTATAAAAAACTTTTACGAGAAGAACAATTATATGTATCACTAACTTGGGAAACGATTCAAAATAATGATGCATCAAGTATATTACTAGTTGGCCAACTATCTCGTTATAAAGGTCTATCAACAGAACAATTTTCATCACTACTTGAACCTGCCCTTGGTGTTGACAAATCTTTAATGTTCGGATCAGCTGCAACGGCAATTATTTCAGTGTCATCAGCATCAGCACCATCAATTCATGTGTCTCTCGTTTTCAATGGTCTCTTTTTGCCAAATGACAATGTCAATGTACCTTTAATTGTCACAATTCAACATCAAGAAAAAGATTACATTTTGTTACAGGAAGAAATCATTGTCAGTAAGCCATCAAGTGAAATAAATTACGGTCAAGTTCGAAGTGCAATAACGGCAACAGATCTTCGATTGCTTTCAAGAGGTAAATTATCAATCAGTATTGCGTCCAAGAAGGATCCTCAGGCACTAAAATTAACTAATAGCATAGGAATTCATGCAACCTGTGATATATATCAAGCCCTTTTACCTTCACCTCCGGAATCAACTGGGTCAGCATCTGGATTAGCTTGGGCTTTCTTAGATCGTTTTGGAGCACTCAGGTATGGAGTTAAACTTACGGGTCTTGAAAATGAAAATCCTCTAGTCACGTTAGTAGACGATGGTGGTAAAAGAAAACAGGAATTAGAAGATTTAACTCCAAGTCTTATTGGTGGCTCAACAGCTAATGGATCATTAGAAAGGCCTGGCCCAAGATTATTAGAAACACTTTTTAAAGGGGAACTTGCCGTAGTTGCTGCATCACCAATGGGATCTACTTTACGAGGTAGACTAGTTCAACGACCTGTTGCTGATGCTAAAGACACTTGTTCACCAGCTATATTAAAGTCACCGTCATCAAGTTCTACTGTAGGTTTAATTTGGCTTGCTATTGATATGGATTGTGCTCTTCATTATGAATTAGAACTTACAGGTTTGCCTGATAATTTAGAGAAACAACAAGATAATGATGATAATAATAATTATAATAATAATGATGTTAAAAGTCGTAAATTATATCTTGAAACTATGCCATTACTAGTTCAGGGTGCTCCTGTATCTCGCCGATTACTCGATGAATTTGATGGAAACATTTTAGAAGGTTCTGTCACTGGTTTATCATTAATTGAACTCTTCAGAATAGACTCTGGTATTGGATTTCTTGAAATTATTGCTGTTGATAAAAATATCAGTACGAAATTATTGAGAACACAATTCAAAGCACGTGCTCCACTTAGTTGCCTTCCTCATTATGCTGACAATGACGTCGCTTCAGTTTTAGTTTACAATTTGCATTCACCAAACTCTGAAATCGAGTCAACGTCTTGTTTCTATGATAGTAAATTTTACGAAGAAGGCACTCAATGGACTTCGAATTCTGACCCTTGTTCTATGTGTCATTGTCATCGAGGAGTAGCCAAATGTGATTCAGTACCTTGTCCGCCATTAAGCTGTCCAATAAATCAAAGAGTCAAACCACCTGTTGGCCATTGCTGTCTAATCTGCGCCGGTAAGATTTCTAAACACCAATCGTTTACCACAATCTTTTTTTTTCATTATCACTCTATTAATATTATCATTATTGGTTAATTTATAGGACTTTAAGCTGATAATTATTATTATCTTTTTTAGGACCACAACTAGGTGATAACTTTACAACCAGTACAGCTAACCCAGTCACATCAACTGTCAGTTCAATGCCGAAGAATAATAATGAATCGAATAATTTGTTAGTCGCAAGAGGATGTATTCTAGCTGGACAGTTCCATCCTGCTGGATCTGCATGGCATCCTTATTTACCCCCATCAGGATTTGACACTTGTGCTATTTGTACTTGTGATGTAAGTATATATTTATAGAAAAAGATTGATTTAAGACGGACTAGAAGTTATTAACTCGGCTATAATAATCAATAAATATAATCTACATCATAGATATTGAAAATGCAAACATATCGATAATCATGAAATAGTAAATTATCTAGGATGAAGATTATTTGATATTTATATGTTTAGTTCGAAAATCTAAAGATTAAACACTAATATAAAATACTAAATATAATGATAATATATTAAACAGAAAATAGGTGGATTAAAAATAGAAATGAGTCCTTATTTTTCTTTCTATCGGTCATTCAAAATAATAAAAATATATAAATGGAGATAATCAATTTTTAACACGTGTTGTATCTGTTTATCTTTATCTACTAATCTGTAGACTTTTACAAATCTACGCATGGAATTTTCATTTACAATTACTAAAAAGAATTAATTATTTATAAATATACAACACCATCAATAACTCAATAACTCTTTTTGACAGCCGATAAGTCTGGAAGTCCAGTGTCCTAGAGTTCAATGTCCTGCACTTGATTGTGACGAGAAGACAGCCGTGAGACCCGATAAAAAAGCTTGCTGCAAGCAGTGTCCAGTAGTGAGTGTGATTCCGATATCAGGAACTCAAGGACCAGCAGTCAACAGCGACCCTTCTCTTCCGCAAGATCAAGCTTCTGGGACACATTCTCTTATACCAAAACGAACACCCGAAGACATTCTAGCCAATGGTGGTTGCAGATATCCAGTAGGTGGACCTTATGAAAATGGCAAAGATTGGCATCCTAAGATTCATTCTCATGGAGAAATAAAATGCGTCAAATGTCGTTGCAAGGTAAGTCACTTAATAACAGTTTAGTTGTAAAAACAATTGATGCATTGGTTGTGGAATAACTTAATGATTTTGTTTGCCATCATTAGAATGGAGAAGTCAAGTGTGACAGGAAACGGTGTCCACGATCTCTTTGCAACTCAATAGTAAATCATTTAAAAAAAGGGGAACGTATTCCGGAAGCAGATGATTGCTGTACTACACAATGTAGACGAGCAAGAAGACACCATCGAAGCCACCGCAATCACTATCATCACCATCATCATCATCATAACCGTAATCAACAGCAACAACGTTCTTCTTCATCTTTATCTACACTATCATCATCATCATTATCAGCAACAGCATCCTCATCATCATTATCAAAATCATCTAAACACCCAATAAAGCCTCAAGATCTTAGCTGAGATCATTTAACTTAGACTCAGTAAGACAAACAATCCAAAATACTCTATTGTAATTGTTGAATTGAACACTTGGGTTATTGCACTTCCTTTGTAGAAAAAAAAGTTCTTAATAAGAGAAATAAAAAAAAAATGAGAAAAAGGAAGTGTAATAATGCGAATTGAATCATATTCATTGGTTGGGATTGCAATTGTCTGACAAAACGAATGACATCTCGAGGAGGGTATAGAAGAAAATTGTGATAGATGTGTATGGATAATATTATCAATTGCTTTGCTCTTTACTGACCAAACTGTTTTTAATTTATCAATTGGATTCTATCAACAGCAAGCAAAACGGAAGGACGTGGTTTAATGATATTTAAGTATGCATAATATGAAAGGGAATAATCATAGATGTGAAAGGTGTAGAAAAGCAATAAATTGCAATTGACACAAGTAAGTATATGCAAGGGTTGAGATGAGGAATAACAATTTTGTTTATTAGTGTTTATATCACTTACCCACCTCAACGAGTTACCCAACAACCAAAGAAGACTGAAGAACCTCGATGGCAGTACGGTTATCGTTATTCAATTGCTAATATTCATTATATTCATAAACTATTATTATTATTATTAGTTATTCTTATTATTAAATTCATAATTAATGATATTATCATCGTCATCAATATTAGAATTTTCTTTATAATTATTTGTTACTGACTTTTATCATTTATTTAGTATCATTACCATATAATTTCATTACTGTTAATGTTTCAATATTATTATACATAAATATTGTTAAGAATTTGATAAGATTTTTGACAATAAAATAACTTAGACAAGCGGAGAAGTTTCAAAGGAGGTGATAATGTATGTTTTTCACGATGCTTTTTATATTTATAATTAATAAGTAAAATATTTATGAATTTATATAAACGTTTTCAGGCTCGTGAAAAATATAAAAGCAGGAAAATTTATCAGGATCGTTAAGATACATATCTAGATATTGTTACTCGATAAATAAATTAAAACAAGATTTTCTTAATTCTTTCAAAAGATAAGATGGAGGGCCTGATTGTTAATCATTGTAAGTCAAATCGATAAAATTGTATTATTTATTTTTTTTTTGATTTATTTATTAAACATTATTGATATTTTTTATTAACTAAAGATATTTAGAATGTAGAAAAATGAATGAAAACAAAAAAATGTTAAAAAATAAAAAAAAATTTTAATTAGAAACGTAAAGCTTTATTAATTATATAGGCCCTTCATATTTTTTAACAATGTGGTTCAATAAATTTGTATATAAACTAGTTACATATCTTTATGAAATTATTTTATAACTACTTGAAAACAGCATTGAGTTTAGCCACTACTTTAATTGTTTTATAAAAGTGAAAAGCGTTGAGCGTTTAAAATGGTTAACTCATGTTGTTTTATAATTATCAAGAGTCAATGTAATGTTGACGATCAATTGAAAATAATTATTTTTCAACACATCATATCGTTCGAGCTTATCTTGGTTGTCGCGTTATAAATATATTATTGTAATTGTATCATATTGCATTATTACACATTTGTATCGATGAAGATTACGTTATTTTTCAATAAGACAAGAATGAAAATCCGACATTATGTAAGGGGTTACAATTCAAAGAGTGTATGCCGACTTCAGTATTTTCATTGAATAAAAAAATAAAGGAAATACTCTAAAAATTTGAAGATAATCATTTACTTAATTAGTTTAAAGCTGACTATGCATTTTAGCAAAAGTTAACACCTCATCCAAAGCTATTAAGAATCGGTCAACAACTTCCTCCCTAGCATTAATACCCATCAAACCGATTCTAAATATTTTTCCAACTGTTGGTCCAAGTCCTCCAGAAATTTCAATGTCCCACCTAATTAATTATATTTCAAATAAATAGTTTAAATAGTTTTGGTAGGTAGATTATTGAATAACATACTTTTCCAATAGTCTTCTGAGTACAAGTTTATAATCTATTCCCAAAGGTATCACAACAGAAGTGATCGTACTTAATCGATGTTCTGGTTCTCTAATATATAACTGTAATTCTCGACTCTGTAATCCCTCAACGAGTTTCTTAGCTGCAGTTGCATGTCTTTTCCATGAGGTTTCTAAGCCCTCTTCTATTAACTGAGCTAATCCTTCTCTAAGCCCATAAAGTAGTGTAGCTGATATTGTATGATGGTAACGCCTCACGGGTTCATTGAAACAATTCCAGTAGTTGCCTAACTCTATCATGTCCCAATAAAAAGACTTCACTTTTGTAAGACGTGAAAATAATTTTTTTCTGTCGAATTCAAACAATAGATTATCATTTCTAATCTTGATAGTTATTAAGTGTATTAATTATAGCTTATATTGGACATAAAAGAAATTTCAAATGTGAATATCAATTTTTATAGCTGATTAAGTTGGAAAGGTTCTATAAAAAATAAAGATTCCTTAATTAAAATTTAAACTACATAGATGAGTATATCATTCTCAATGAGTTAAGCATAAATTCTACAGTTACAAAAAAACTTTTCAAGCTCTAAAGAAGAAAGTGGAAATTACTTTAACAACTACTGTAGTATTTTCAGATTTATCACGGCCATATTGACAGACTTATTGACATGTGATAAAAAAATAAGAGATTATTCATTGTTAGTTCAATTTAGAACCTCTTTGTTAGTTTTTTAACTCTTAAAAATATCTAAGATAATTTGGGAATTTCCCAAGGTCGGTGAGTGACCGTCAAAAATGACTAATACTTTTTTTATTTTTTTTTCTAATAAAAATGAGAAGTAATTTCATTGATGTCCAAAATTATTTAGTTATTTAATCAAAATTATCCTACTCAGCTCTAGCATTAAATGATATTGGTGTAAGACCAGGAGGTGCCCCAAAAACTTTCTGACTGCCAGTGTAAGCAGCATCGATCTTCCAAGCATCCATGAAAAAAGGTTCAGCTCCAAGAGATGCTACTGTATCAACGATAAGCAGAGCTTCATATCTAAATAAATATGTCAATAAAGAGAGACAGTTAATCATGTAGATAAATTTAACATACCTGTGACAAATGTCTCCAATGCCTATTAATGGTTGTTTTAAAGCAGTTGATGATTCTGAATGAGCCAAAAAAACAACAGAAGGCTTCCATTGATCTATAGCTATTTCGAGTTGGTCTAGAGTGAAAGCAACACCCAATTCTGTGTTTAAAGTTCTTACCTGGTGATTTAAGAGACTTTCATTTTTATTATTTGATTACATTACCAGTACATACGTTCTTTAATGCTAACTATTGGAATGTTGGACTTAATCTATCAGTATATGGCAGTACATTTGAATCTACAAAAATGAGTTGAGTGCGAATGTTATTTATGTATTAAAAGTTTCGTGCCAATCCAATGTATACGGGACTGCTGATACTTATCTAGTTATTAAAATCATTTACTTAAACAATTTTAACGAGATAAGTTATATATGCTAAGATTAACAGATAAATATTACTAAGTACGTTAGTACTCGTTATTATATGATCCTGGATTAATCGGGCAGTCTCCTTCCTTTTACTCTCACCTAATACATTTTTTTTAGTTTGTTATGTATATATATATATATATTTTTCTAATCTAAGAGAGTGGGAATTACCTTATTGAGTCAAGAAATTTTAATTAAAATATTTATTGGATCTGTGTGTGTTTAGGTTTCTTGACCTTTCATGCAAATAATTTCAAAAGAAAAGTTTCTGTATAAACAATTTTTTAAAAGTCAACTGAATTTTAATTTACGAAACAATTAAAAAAATTTATCTAACATCACTGGGAGGCTCAGTGGTAATCAAAATTATTTGATGAATATGTCAATGATTTTTTAATATTTCATATCAAGATATCAAGAATTAATGAATGAATTCTATTTTTTAATTTAATTTAAAGATCAAGAAAGAATTTATTTTGTCAATAGAACCCTCCTATCTGTCTTTCAATAATTAATTGCCAAAATCATCTTACATGCCGGGATAACTCTTGGAAACAAAATCTACCATCAACTTAACAATATAATTTAAGGACATTATGTATTGAAATTCGGGAAATAGTAATCTAAATTCTTTAGAATATGTCGTTTCTTCGATTCAGTTTCAAAGACTCATGATTCATATTATTTTCATAAAGAATTTCTCTATATTCCATTAACTTAACAAGAGCAGCCACAAATTAACTCATTTTTCGGCTCCGAAATGAATTTACATGACAAACAGACGTTTCAAATATTTTTTCAATCGATTGGCTTCACACACTGCCTTTGTTATCTATTTTCTAAGAACTGTTTTATGATCATTTTCAATACTACTTCAGAAGTCTTCATATTTTTCACTTTTCATTTATCTCCTTGTCACATCGAAATTATTGTTTTGATTATTATGGATATTTATTTTTCAGCTAAATTATATACATTACTGTATTTAACATTTTCAGCTTATATTATCTATTACGTCCGAGTGCTGAGAACAAACCAGTATACATATAATATAACAGGTATAAAATGATGTTCTATGAATTCTATGTGATGGGGTGGTACATTATAGTCAATATTCGATATAATATTCATGTCACTGAATGTCATGACATTAATAACAATAGGACATTTCGGATGTATTGATGCATTGGGTATAATAGATATTAATGACAATAAACCATCAGTAATCAATAAAATGTAAAAAATGAATTAATCGTATATTGAAAAATGTATTAAAAGTTAGGTATGGTTTTATGAATAATTCACAAATACTTGTGAAGATGATTTGAAATTAATAGAAAATATCTTTCAACGCATTAAGTTTTAATGAAGTAAAAATTTAGAATGATAAAAAAAAATAAAATATCTATTTATGGGTATAGATAACATTGAATCTGGTACAAAGTACTATATATGACATTTCCCATGTACGTGATACTTTGTCTACAATATAACTCATTCATAAGTATTTCGGTTTCTTTTAGAATGATAACTCTCCTTACTACTCTTGGAAAATATTATCACTCAAATATCAGATTGGATTTTGTAATGATAAAATCATCTTTCAGAGAGTATCATGGAAAGAGTATACCATATATGCATGATGATATCAAATGAATTTTGAGTATGTTATATCAGAGATACGGTTTAAGTGTATTTTTACTTTTCAAAGAAAAGTTCATTCATTAAAACAAACATTCTTCATAAGAAATCATGAATAATAAATCTTACTCTCAAGATAATTTATCCTTCAGAGCCAAGTGAGTTTATTTAATTAAAAATAATGTTTTTGTTTTGTAATTCTATATTTACTTTTAATTTTTGTGTAATTATATGTGATTATTTGATATAAATATAAACAATAATTTTGGAAAATATGATTGAATAATCAGTCAACCATTGAACTTATTTGTGTTATTGCAAAATGTTATGGTTAAATAGTATCTACAGGCTAAATGAATGAATCAATTAATGGAAAGTTATTTCAAAACTTACACGTGCACCAAGTCGCTTTGACATATTCTCAGCCCTTTCACCCCACAGGCCACCTTTGACAATTAAAATTCTGTCGCCAGTCTCAAGTAGATTAGCGAGACAAGCTTCCATACCAGAATGGCCTGATGCACTTATGGCTAAAGTGAGTCTGTTTTCTGTTTGAAAAGCATACTGAAGTCCAGCTTTGATTTCATCCATTAACTAATTACATAAGAATTTGAAGAGTTTATTCAACTTAAAAAACACATATTTTTAATATTTTATAATCTACCTTAAATGTTTCCGGATGCATATGTCCCAAGAGTGGATTACTCAATGCTTTTATAACTCTTGGCGATAAATTACTTGGACCAGGACCTAACAAAAGTCTTCTCTGAGGTACTGCTAATGGAGAAAGTATCTCTTTTGGAGACGATTTGATTCCACCCACACTTCTGATTACAGATGAATAATTATACATCTTTCACTGTTTAACTTATAATTATATGGTGACAGTAATATAATTTAATCTTATATAAATATTGCAATATTTTCTTCTTAATGTAATGAATTTAAAACTAATGAATGCTAACTCATCGAATGCTGAAACTCTAGTGTCATATGATAATTTCGATAAAAAGTAATACAGGGAGATATCAGAAGACACTTAATATATTACGATAACTTCGATAATGATGACTTGTAAAAAGTAAAATAAATAATCCGGCCTTTAGTATCATTGATTTTCTGTATGAAAAATATTACAATAAAATTATTATAATTATTATCTTAATGAAAGAAAAAAAATAATCATAAGGTTGAATACAGTGATTGTGATTGTTTTGACTTGATAATTAAAGCAATTAAATAAATATACAGAGTAATATTTAAAAGTTAATCACTTATTGAATAAATTAATTAACATTTTTTGATTTATTTTACATAAAAATTCTATTGATAAATTGATTGAAATGAAAATATAAAAATCCTTGATATTTACTAAAGGCAAGAAAAAAACAATCGATGTGATCGAATTAACTTGAATAAATTTAAATGGTATCCAGTACATAAAAATTATTATGAACTGGTATTATTATTAAAGATATAAAAAAGGAAGTATCGTTTTTGGTTCACTGAATCCTATCATGCAAAAAATGATTTTCTGCAACCGATCCATATACTGTACAGAGTCGCCCCCTTGTGGCAGATCATTCACATGTTTTCCCATTTACTTTCTCTTTCTTTCTCACTATCTGTCTCTGTCAGACGTCTAACGTTTCTTCTCTCGGGTTTCCTTCTTGCCTTGGAATTCCTCAAGCACCAAGACGCGAGAGACGTTAGTGTCCAATTGTTCGTACAGTAGTTTACACTCACCAAAACTTGGTTGTTTAGTGTGCCGCGTGCTTCCAATAAGACCGTTGAAAACTCTTATGGAATTTATTGTTTCCGTGCCGGGCCATGTCGCGTGCCACTATTTGTACGTGTATTTGTCTTTTCGTGACTAAACAACAGTTATAGTTATATATTATGTGGGACCATATTATAATAGTAAAACGTGATATATTTGCTAAGAAGCCAAAGTAAAATAAATGAAGACTTTATATATATATATAGGTATATGTAGATATATAAAGCGACTTGAGAAAAAAAATGGATGGTAGATCAATTACACGATCATTACTTCTACAATCAGTTTTGATTTAATAATGCCCCGAAATATGTAATTTGAACTCGTTTGCGTGCTGTTAAAGCATTTTTTATGCTCTTTCTCGTGGTGGTACTTCTGAAAGACTGAATTATTTTTGAGTGCTTATGTACCTGAAACGACTGCCAAGTGCTGCAAAGTGAACTGTGGGTGCTGTTGTGGGGCCAAAGCAAGTGATTCGCTTGTTCACTCTATCATTTTGCTCTTATTTTCTTTCCCTCTCTTACTTGCTTACTTACTTACTATACATTCATAAGAGAATAAGCAGCCGACCAGTTGACCGGTCTCAAGAGAGGCGTGCGTGCTCGTGCTCGTTTATTCCTAACAATGGATGAACGCGAAGCTATCTTCTGACACCAGACGAAGAGAAGAGGCAAAAATAAAACAAACGAATATTAAAAGGAGTTATTATACTGTTGATGGAAATGTTTGTGACAATAGTGTAATTAGTGATTCTAAATTAGAGATTCAAAGCTCAAAAATTAATGGATGTCATTAAAAAGTAAGTGACCATATTCTTCTTAAACGAGCATATCATCAAGATTGATTACGAGCCAGTTTAATTTAATTGAAATATGTCTGCTTGCAGTTCTATCAGCAAAATAAACCGTAAGTGAATTAATAAAGCCCAGTGATAGAATGATAGTGATGATGGTGATGATGATGCCAAAAAGATGAGCTATGGCATCGTCTACGACTCCAAGTTATACTGGATTATCAGCACCTGTTGGTGGTAACACATCTCGTTGTGTAAGTCTTGAATTCCCACCTCCACCACCTTATCCACCACCCATGGCTGAAAATCAGCTGCATCAGCAAAAGCAAGCTCAACACTTTCAATCTCATCAACAATTACAATGTCAGCCACAAGTAATTCAAGATTATTCATATGCTTGCTATGAACCTGGACCGTCAAGTAGAATATCTTTACTCTATCCTCATTCCTGCTCTGTGGAGGAGCCGTCAAATCGTCAATGGACTTATCACCTGCAGCGCCAACCACCTGTTCGGGACTTGGCAAAGCGACACACCTATGTCACGCGATATGGGACAGAAGAGAATATTTACGAAGAAATATCTGAGATCAGGTAGGTAAGCTCTGGTAGACAGAGCAAAGAAAAGGTCGGCATTTTATGGGATATAAATTGTAAAAGGGCGTAAAACTTAAAAGACACCGGAAAACATCAATGACAAAGGACTGCTGTTCTTTAATTTTTATGCTCTTGAAGCGTTTTATAGAGAAATCGCTTCTTGGTACGTTATTTATCGTACTGAACTTGAAAGAATTAATACATATATCCTAATAATAAAAGAAATATTATGTCTATTCTAAATATCAAAACTGTTAACTTAATTTAGCAGGCAGTGTCGATTAGGACTCAGTGAATCTCATCGATCACTCGTAGCTGAAGAAGTACGTCGAGTTCATTCCCGTCATCGTCGTGTCCTTGGAGAATTAAACTTAAGTGTTGAAGCAATGTTGATGCCGAGTACAGTAGAGGATAACGAGAATGATGATGAACACAATGTCAAAGAGAGCCAAGATGATGAGAAAGGACAAAACCGAATGGCTCCTTCATTTCTATCATCTAATGAACCCCCATCACTCTTTGTCGGCTGTGATTTAGACAGTGGCTTTAGTGGGAGTTCTAGTGCCAGCTATAGGTACTTGTTTACAGTTACTACTTCTTGTAATGCCTGACCTCTTTTTTTCACTTTCTATTCTTCCTCATTATTGACTCTATTGGCTTCTATATACCTATCGACCTGTCAAACCTAAAGAAAATAAATGACAATTTCATTAAATTCCAGGTCAGGAGCTGGATCTCTAAGGAGAGACTTGGATAAATCACTAATGGCTTCCACATCGTGTACTAAACTGATTGCCAATATGCCAAATCGAAAAAATAAAGCAGCTATGATATGGAAAAAAGGCTGGAAAGGATGGAAAAAATTCCAGGTGTTTGCTCACGCGTCAAAAGTCAGTGGTATGTGTGTGGTTAATTGATTTTTAGTGATTATATTTACTGCGGTGGTTAATGCAAAACCGTTGCTAACGAAAAGAATCGTGAGAACGTGCCTTGGATATAATGTGACGTAAGCACACTAGCTTGCAATGCGCTTGGTTGAGTATAGTACAGTTAATTATTGGTACTTGGTAAGGGTCAGCTAAGGGTCATTCGTCGAACGTAGAGAAGCAGATGCAGGCCACGTGCACATTTGTCACGTCCCTCGCTTGCTTACTGATGATAATCGCCCTATACTGACTAAATCTAAACGGTAGCACGCATGCTATATATTCTTTTGACTTGATATTGTTTAGGTAATTCAAATCCAAAACAAAACAAGCAGATTAGTTGAAACAACAAGTTCCAAAACTGGATTATCGACATAAATACTTTCATTATCAATTTTACTATCGTCCAATTGAAAAGTTGCTTTCCAACATGTTGGTCAATGTGGTCAGTAATAATTAATTTAATGGATATTCAAATGAATGGAATGTTGATAATTAAGCCTAAAAAATTCTGTTTTCGTTGTTTAAAGATATTATATTTGATGAAGAAGCTGATAAAAGTTCATGTCTTGTAGACTGGCGCCGTCTTTCGGTCATCTTTCATACAACAAAATTCATCTCTCGTGAGCTTTATGTGTTTTTAACTCTCTTCTATACGATAGATTTCTTTGTCCTCTTCTGATTTCATTGCCGACCACGATACTACATATTTGCTTTCTTCGTTTTCCTGCTGTTGAGTATACAGCATGTATTCTCACACACAGAGACATTCATAGCAGTACCAGCAGCAGCACCAAGAGTCCAACTAAACAGCACTCTCTGAGGCTTGCTTTGCCCCTCCACACTTCCGTTTTGCTGCTTAACTGCCTTCAGTACGCGAAACGCCAAGCAACACCAAGGCTGTATAGTAGCTCTAGTGCCCGCCATCATGTGGTGTGCTATCCCTACAATCCTAAAAATTTTTTACGACTATTTTTCCTCTCACCAGTTCCACGTTGTGGTAATTAAATAAAAACTCGCTTGTTCCGCGTAATTAATACTTCTAGTTTCTATTGTTTCTTGTTGTTTACGTTATTACATAATTTGGTAGACTTGTAAACATTAAGTTTTTTTTTAACAACGTTGATTCTGTGGATGATGGTGTTAGTAATACTGGAATCAATGGTTTTGTTATTTCAATTAAACATTTTTTATCGTAGTATTGACAATAAATTATTAAGGTGAATTTTGGAGCAGCCTCCTCCGGGATACCGTGAGGAGGCTGACAATACACGTAGTGTTATTTCTATATAGACATGGAAGAAATGCACAATGGTGTTGTTCTCATCAAATGTAAGTTGAACAATACTCTATAAATTGATTGTATGATTATTTTTTGATTATATGCTTGTAGTAGTATTAGTTACTGAGAGGTATATTTGATTATACATATGAGTTTTCAACGGAATCTCTGGTGTACAGTATACTTGCGGGTGCGCGCAGGCCAATATTACCAGCTAGAAGGGAGAAAGATAAAGAAAGGAACCAAGAGAATGACACCCATGGAGATTTCAACTAGACTGCGCGGCGTTGCCAGACCGAATAAATTTTCAATGTGTGCTCTTCTATTCCACGTTAAATGTTCTTTAAAATATCAAACTAATTAACCACCTCAACCTAAGCAAAACTTGATATGTACCGCAGCTGTCTTTACTTTCTTTGCCTATTTAAATATCTCATTTTGCCTGTTTCGTCTTCTTCAACTACGTTTACTTACTGCCAGCAACACCATGACGATGACTAAGTCCGGTTCGACGTTCGAGTGGTGTCGTTGTAAAGTCTAAATTGGGCTTATAAAGTCGAGAAAAAAATCAAGGTGAAGATCAGAAAAAGAGAATTTTTCAACTTCAGTTAATGCTTTATAATCAAAGATTAAAAAGTAGCCAAAAGCAAATAGTAATTCTGTGATTACAGAATAGAACAGGCCATTTAATCATAATATCTCGTGGGGAATGACCCATCGATGAGACACACAAGCGTAAATTGACGCCGGAAGTTGGTCACTTACGAAGGACGTTATTGTGCCCGCATGATTAAACTCAAGCGACCGAACTGTTCAATCTAACAACTCAGCATCAACATTTGCCAAAGCGAGAACGTTTACTCACGCAGTAATATTCAATTAATTCCATTTCATTACTGACTTTTTCTAGTTCATTCATTGTGTTTTCAACAAATACCCGCGTTATTTTTAAACATTAAAATTATCCTGGGGTTTTTTTTTATTGATAGAGATTAATGATAGAGAAAGAACTATATATCATCTAGGAAAAAGTTTCTTAACAGTGGATAAGCAGATTAATTTACTCTACTATTCCCCTTAATTAAAAAGTATATTATTTTTATTAACTACACACATTTTTTATCTAAATGACTTATCATTTGTTACCTAAAAAAGGATAATATATTGGAGTAGATAAATTCAATGAGCATAACAAAAGAATAATTATGAGATTAAAAAATACATATACAGCTGATTCTTTTTTTTTTAGAGCACAATGTTTGTGGAAACATAAATGAATTTTTATGTCACTTTTTTCATTATTCTATTAGTATGTATGTAGAAAAGTGACGTGAACAATTTATCTATTCAATGAAGAAGCATGTATCCCATACATATGAGATGTTTATGTAATTTATTAATTGAATATTTAACTAATATTTCATGATACAAAGTAATACATAAGTTTAAGCATTTATAACTTTGTTGACTTAATTAAAATTTTATTATTTTGACAGATGTAAATTAAATTATTAAAAGATAAACTTCAATAAGAATTGGAGCATTAATTTATAGTTTATTAAAAAATTTGTTATTTTTTAAAAAATAGTTAATATAGAAGACAAGTTATTTCTAAAATATTTGTGAAGCTCAATAATTGGATAAATTAAATTAATATTTAGAAAACAAAAATAGATTGGAGAAATTTAGAGTATTTTAATTAGAGAAACAAAAATAATCTCAAATAAATTCTTTTTGATGTGCTCTCATTAACAAATCTGATTTTAACTTTATCTAATAAAACTAAAATTAACTTGTAATAGAATCGTTGAACTTTATTAGAACTAATTTTGTAAGAGGAAATGAAAGCGAGGTTGGAAATGATAATTTTTAGTTTTGTTTCTCTCATAAATAGATAAGTTGATTATATTAAATAATACATTCTTCTATCAACACAGTCATGTAAAGTTAATTTCAAATACCCCATTGGAATTTATTTAAATTCTAAAACAGTAATAACTGAACTTTTAACCAAATATGAACACAATGAATTTTTAATTTTCTTAAAAAAAAAAAAAAAAAAAAAAAAATGTTTAGAATATTCAAATTAATTTCACTTATTGTAATTAAATATAATCGACCAAGTTTTTTAAAAAAGATAGTAAAACTTTTCTATTATTCATATTTATTTTAATTTAAAAACAAAATTTTATCAGAAAATAAGTTGGTTTTATTGAAATGAGTTGTCAATGTATTTGAATACTTTTATTGTTCATTTCTTATTTGAAACTGTCTAACGCAACTTCAACTTATCTAGTGGTCTATTTATTTTATAATAGCACAAAGCATACGCTATAGAAATTATTGTCTAGAATCTTTTTCATATATATTTCTATATTTTTGACCGACTTACTTTATTTTTAAACCATTTGTTCTCAACATGTAGAATTACTGCATGATTGAATTTCTCTGATTTGTGCATTTACAACCTACATCTGCCACTACCTGTTCACAAGTACACAACCCGTGTTTTCATAGCATACGTCGTCCTACCTATCTATACGTACTCTACACTTGTTAGCTTTATATAGCCAACTGAGTTATCACGTCTACGTTTCCGGAATCTATTGAATTATTTTTATCAAATAGACAACACATGATATCAGTTCTCCAATACCTTTGTTTCCACATAATTCAACATCACCGTACCATAAAGTCAACATTAAAACATTTCTGTTATTCATATTCATTCACGTAATAATAATTAGATGATATAATAAGCTATGATTACCATCAACGATAGACCCAACATACATACAAACGAAAATTCAAGTGGACAGTTAGGACAAGTAGTAGAAAGGACAATGGCATTTCACATGTAATATTTTCATGTGAGCAGGCTTGCGTACAGTATAAATAAAGCTAATGCGTTGACATAAGGAATAGAAGAACGAGGGAGAGAGCGGGAGGAGAAAAACATTGGAGATGGAAGGCAAGTAAAGAGGAAGAAGGAGAGCGATGTATTGGAGGAGGTGGAATCCGGTAGAATCGGCTCCCCCACATACATTTGTGGTTAGTTCGGACTTTGCGAGAAAGAATAGAAGTACACGACGAAGAAGCAATAGTGTACTACAGTCTGTTGTGTTCACAAACTATCACAATACATGTGTTTCATTATTTTGTGCGCACTGTGTTTTACCAGGATTCCAAACTGGATCAATCAACCTTTGAGATTCAACACATGAGAAGTGTGAACAAGTTTAAATATTGTTCAAGTCAAGTAAGTGTTTACGATGCTAATCATTCTGTCCATCAGCTAATATAACCACTGGATTTATGTTCAACCACAACACACACAGACAATTCCCACGTTCTTATTAAATTGCGTTAATCATCAAGTGATTTAAATTCATCAGTAGTGAAGACATTATCAATGGAAGGATTTATTTATTTCCACTACTCTATCTACGTCTTCATTATTGAAGATTATCTTCAATTATTGTATGTATAAGGGGACAGTTGGCCTACTGGATGTTACGTTTGAGAAAGTGATTTAGACAGTTTAGGGAATGGAATTAAATATTGGCGCAGGAGATGGAATATATTTTATAAATAGATACTTCCGTCATTGAATAGATGACTGCAATGTACGCACTATAGAGTAGTTAGCACGCGCAGTTGGTCGAGTACGTATGTGTACTTTCCATTACATAGATATTGGCTCTTATGTGTATGATATACATACATATATTGAATATATGTATATAATATTCGATAACATTGCATGTGAATAATAATACGCGTGAATGCACGCAATGTTTTTGTTCGATCAGTATGTCAGATATCAAGACATGTATAGCGCGCTTATGAGCAACCTGTAGAACGTCTTTATATCTTTCATCTAATTTCTAAACATGGTATTTCCTGTTGATTTCTATTCAAGATTTACTTTTCAGTCGTTTTGATAGATAGTAAAATATTTGGAGTAAGATCATTCAAATCTGTTGAAATAAATGTTCATGTTGTAGGGAAAAAAATGAATTTATAATGACAAGTTTGAAAAGAAATACTATTTACCTAGAATCGTGTTGTGGAGAATACCTGATTCAGTAATAGATATTTTTAATTGTTTGATTCTATTTCATACTTGTTTTTGTTGGAATCATATGATAAATATAATAATTAAATATTCTCTTGATGAGATTGATAAATTAATATTAATTTGCAAATAAAAAAATATTTTAATTAAAGCAAACAGCCGGGAACTTGATTAGTCGTCAAAAATAATAATTAATTAAACATAATTATAATTATGTACTTGCTGTTCAGAAGAAATTATAATTAAATTTACCTTGTTTTATGAGAGGGTAAACAAATTATAATGTTTAAGAATATAATAATAAATAATTTATTATTGATGAAATTCAATATTCATATTAGGAGGTATTATTATTATTATAAGTCAATTAGCTACTTTTCACACAATAATATGTAGTTAATTACTAAAATTATCAGTCAATCAATTAAAAAAAACAATTATTGTACAATTATATGTTAAATCATTTTGTTGATATTATTAGTAGTTAATTGTATTAAAAGCTTCTCTATAATTGTTGTAAAAAAAAATTTACTTGAAATCGACTAATAATTTTTTCCACAAAAAAATTAAAATGAAATTAAAAATATTGTTTAATCATTAATAATTAGTCACATCTGAGTTAATTTTAAACGATCAAATTACTGGTTCTATGAAAAGTGACATGATAGAAATAAAGCGATTATTAACGATAATAATTTTGTTATTTAGATGAACCACGATCGAGGTGTCAATCTTGGGACGACGTAGGAGTACCATCAGCTAGGATGGAGGCAGTGTCAAAACGACAGTCTCAGCATCATCAACCCTTGGAGCCTACAAATTCAAACATCTCCTCGAATTCTGTGAAAAGTGAAGATTCGTGGTGTTCAGCGTCAGATCATGAACATTCGTCTGACGATGAAAGTGAAAAAAGTAATATCAGTATAAAAAGTAATTGTCAGTTACGGAATACATTGCACAAAGCAAAGACTCTATGTGACAAGTTGAGATCACAAAACATAAGACTGAGTAATAACTGCCCAGCAGACACTTTAGATGCAGCAGGTAATCAAGGAAGATTATCACGCTGGTTTAGTATTCGTATGCGAGGGTCTACACATCAATATGATGTGGACTCGTCGTCCTCGGATACTTCGATTGTGTCAATGTGCAGTCCAATAAAACAACAGCAGTCATCAACGCCATTACAACAGTCACCGGTGGCTCCAATTGGCTCGCCAATGTCCCGACTTGTTGAGGTAATAAATATCTTCATTACGATTACAAATGAATCTAAACAATATCATTAAAATAAATAGTCCTTGTGTCTAAATTAATTGTGCAAATTTTTAGGTCGAGGAAGAGAGCTATACTTCAGGCAGCAATACAGCTGCTGCTATCATGCAATTCCAGTGTATGCATCCTCGCAGACAAGCACCTCCAACTCTTCCACCAGCACCCCCAAATCTTACTCCTCAACAATTAAAACGACGTCACATTGTTGCTGCCATTGTTCATTCTGAGAATAGCTATGTTGCAACATTACAAAGATTAGTTAATGATTACAAGAAACCTTTAGAAGAGTCATCACCACCTGTACTAAGTCAAGCTAAAATAGCCACTTTATTTCATCGTTTACCAGAAATCCTACAATGCCACACACTCTTCAGGATTGCCTTAGCTGAGTGTGTGAGATCTTGGGACAAAGATGAAAAGCTTGGTGATGTTTTTGTTGCTAGCTTTAGTAAAGCTATTGTTCTTGACATTTACAGTGGATTTATTAACAATTTTTCACAAGCTATGGATCTTGCTAAACAAGAATCTAAAAGAAAAACAGCTTTAGCCGATTTCTTCAAGGTTAAACAAATAAGTGCCCATGACAGATTGTCTTTTTTTGGACTTATGGTTAAACCTGTTCAAAGGTTTCCTCAATTTATTTTATTTCTTCAGGTAAATAGAATATTTTTAAGATAACAACTTTGAGGATTATAAATTAAAATTTTTATTAAGTCTTGGTTATTTGCATTGTAATTATTTGAGAAACAAAATTCTTGCATTTGTTTAAAAAAAGACTGCCAGAGAAAAATTTGGTTATCGTTATGACTGATCAATAGAATTTTTGAAGCATCTCTTAATCTACATGATAATTTATTAAACTTGATATCTTTTGTAGGACTTATTGAAGCACACACCTCAAGGACATCATGACCGAATGTCTCTTCAATTGGCATTAACTCAGTTAGAGAGCTTGGCAGAAATGTTGAATGAACGAAAACGTGAAGCTGAACAATTCCAAGCATTTAAAGAAATGCTACGTCATGTATCTGGAAAATTAGCTCATCGACCTCTTTCTTCATCTTCTCGTTATTTGATAAGAGAAGACAACGTTACTCAATTAGAGTTTAATCAAAATGGCATGATAACTAAATCAAAAAGAAGAAGATTGCTATTATTGAACGATTTAGTCGTGTGTGTTTCTGTAACACCTAGATCTATCGAGGACTTTTCAAGCAGTGAAAGACTTACGTTAAAATGGACGTATCCGGTGTCCGACATAGAGGTAAATGTCTGTGAGAAAATATTCCACAGAAAATGAGCACGTGCGATTTATTGCACGTATGTTGTACAACAATATTAAATTATCTATAATTTATTTTATTATTCTTCAAAGATACAAGACACCAGCACATCTCCAACACTGAGTCGATTACTCACAGCCGGTCTCAACAAAGGCGGGAGTTTGAAATCGGAAAAAAGCTGTGGTATGAACGAGAGCAATCACCAAGCAGGTGCCGATAGTATTTGTGCTGAGATGAATGACCTTATGCACGACTATGAGGTTATGTCAAGGATAAGTGATCTCGTGACGCAACTCAAAGGAACTTACGAGGTATTTATTAGCCTTGTACCTATTTTACTAATTAAAATCACATAGTAATTCTTTATTTATAATCAAATATGTTTATTTAAATGTTTAGGGAATGAGCGTTGCATCGACAAAGCAAATTCTCCAGTCAATTCAGTCATCTATTCAACAAAAAGACGAAGACATGATATGGGCAGACAGTTGTTGTCTTCAACTTACAACTAAACAAGGACAAATGTATACTTTCCAAACGGATAATCCACTAGTCAAAAAAGATTGGATAACAGAGCTAAGACTTGCTCAATTAGCTTTGGATCCAAATAACTCACCGTCTTGGGAAGTGCCTGAACAAGAACAAAGACCATCCACGAAGATGCCATTATTCGTTAGTTCTCAAGCAGTTTATCACTCTCAGTACAAGTCAGAAGTTCGTTGTGGATGTTACTATACCACCCATAATCCCCGTACAGTTAGACGACGAACTTCGCGAAATCCACAAAGTTATTTGTGGATTTGCACGGGGGATGGGGTATCAAGTCACGTTACAGTATTTAGCCAATCAACTTCTAATGCTTCTTCAGCAATATCATTGAAGAAAATTAGTACATTTGATTTAGTCGAAACACGTGTAGCTGCTATCGAATTCATTAAGGGGGTTGATGAACCAGAATCCTGTCAAATAGGTGATCAAGTATGGATGGGAACAGATTCAAGGAAAATAATTGTTTATTCAGCAGTTGAACCCGAGAAACAAGAACAGCTTGGAAGTTATTCAGTATCGGGTTCAGTAATTCAAATAAAATATCACTGTGATAATGTCTTTGTAGCACTTGGCAGCGGTTCTTTACTGATGTTTAAAAGAAATGTAGATAGAAATTGGCATATGGGAGAACCTTCAGTCATTTGTTTAGGAGCTGATCCGGTAGCTTGTCTTATGCCAATAAATAACACTGTTTACGCAGCTTGTGGAAAGAAAGTTTGGGTGCTTAAAGCAGCTTCTGGAGAGGTAATGAAGAGTTTTAGTGTGCAACATGAACATGTTGGTAATGTACATTTAATGGCTCATTCAGGCGTTGGTCTGTGGGTTGCATTAAAAAATTCCAGTACAGTTTGTCTTTATCATACTGAAACTTTTAAGCATCTTCAAGACATAAATATTGCCTCTAATGTTCTGCGAGTAACGAAAGCATCTATTCTCGATCGTTTATCGTCATGCAACTCTTACGGTGATAATATCAATAATGGCAATTCAAATTCACAAATTAGTGTAAACGTTACAGCTTTAATGGCTTGTAAAGGACTTCTTTGGGTTGGTACTAATGTTGGAATTAGTTTAACTATTCCGTTACCAAGATTAGAAGGAGTTCCTATTATAAGTGGCCGAGTAAATATTTCATATCACGCACACTTTGGGCCAATTACTTTTTTACTGGCTATTCAAAATAATAAAAACTCTCAAATCAGTAAATCTTCAAAAGACGATGAGCAAATTCAATACAATTCGAATGAACAAACTGAAATAGATCAGCAACAATTAAGACCTCACAATCGACAAACTGATCAATCAGAACAATCAAGGAAAAGACAAGAATATCATCGAGCAAGTTTGAATGAATCATCTGCTAACTCAACGGCTTCGTCGTCCTCATTTTCTTATAATGTTGATAAATTGAAGCAACAATTAGCTGGAAGCCCTATTGCTCTAAGAAGAAAACGGAATAAAGATAATGATTTTAGAGCATCAAAAACTTTGCCAAGGGGTTTTGGTGGAGCAATAATTTCTAGTAATTCATCACCACCAGGATTATTATCAACTTCAATAGCTAGTTCTCAAAGTTCTGGAGAAAATTGTGATGTTTATGGGCTTTATGGTGAGTTAATGTACGTGAAAGATTATGAAAATGATACGAGCTCGGGAATTGATCCAACATATGAAAGTCTGAGACGTAGTGATCCTGAATTAGCTGCAATACCTAACAAGGTCAATACTCTAGATCGAAGGTTGAAAATGAAGATCACGCGACCTAGATCTTTAGATTTATCCAACTGGTCTGTCGACTCTCACGCGAGTTCTTTGTATACGTCATCTGGATCTGAAGAAAATCTTTCTAAAACTGGAAAATTATCTAGAAATAGTAGTACAGCAAGTGGAAATACAACAACAACTTCATTCAATCTCGAACCATTAATTTCTTCAAATACTGTCAACTCAGGAGTTGATAGCAAAGAAACTATTCAACAAACACGATTAAACACCGTTAAGAAAAATAGTACTACAAATAAACGAAAGATTCAACAACAAATAGATCAACCAAAACGTACAGTTTTAACTTTAATGGGTGGACGTGGTTACGTAAATTGGAGGCAATTAAATAACACAACTTCACCACCTCAACCATTTATTGGGGACAAAAACTCAAAGGCCAGCTACTCATGCAAAGAAACCAACACCAATGATGCTCATATAGTATTGTGGGAAATGAAATTATGATAAAGAAATATATATTTGAAAAATTTGCTGGTCAAACTAAAACTCGTGTTCAATATAACACAACTCTACAGAATCAAATCAATTTTAATTCTGGTGCTTAATTATCATTAATTAATAAGATTAATAATATGTATTAAATGCAAAAATGTTTATTTATGATTAATCTTTCAAGAATCTCAGTTTATTTATTACTGAAATGAATCTCGTGCCTTTTTCTAAATATTGAATATTCGTTTTGAAAGTATTTTATTTTATAAAAATAAATCTTACATATCGCACGAATTAATTTTATTGCAATTTATAATTATGTTATACGTACCAATGCGTACAAACAAAATTGAGTGCTCATGAAAGAGAGCCTCACCAAAGAAAACTAGGTAAAAAAGTATAAATTAAAAATGTTAAATTGATGATTGGATTGATAAATATTAAATAAACTATTGCATTTTTTTGCAGTTACGCAATTGAAATAATAATTATCGAATATTAAATCCGTAGCGTACGGAATTGTTAACTAGCATTTCTATGTGAAAAAAGAAAATTTATATATAAGTTGATTAGAATGCAGATCTTTGCATTGTCACAAGTTGTTTTGATAAAAAATTTTCCAACTATCTCTATTTGTGGTGCCATCGTGAAGTAATTCTTATAAAATGTTAAATCAATTATATTAAAAAATATATTCTTAACACTTTGTACAGCTACATTTTTTCTATTAAATCTTTGTTAATTGATACAACTATTTAATGTTATATAAAAAGTTTGTAACTTATACATTTTACAATCGTTATTAACATTTAACGCCTAATTTTTTAGAAATTTTTTCATAATGGCATGAAAAAATGAAATTATCAATTACTTTGAGGGAACAAAAATAAAATACTTAAATAAATATTATATTGTTTAAGAGATTACTGTTGCGCGTAAACAAGACAAAAAATAACATAGATTATTTCTTTTTCAATGTGATATATTCGAATATTAATCATATAAATAACGCCAGTTACCCTACAGTGATTGCTGTAAATGAAATTATTAATTTTTATTAATTCGAAACAAGGCGATTATAAACGTTTCAGAGCGAAAAAAATTGTACAACTACATAAGAACGAATATTTTGTTTTATTTTATGGATGTAAAAGATATAAATAGATTTCCATAACTATACAATAGATATATTTATTATTTAAACAATTACATAAATTTCATATTTTCTTGTTCCATCTTCTCAACGCTCAATAAAATATTTTTTTTCTTTGCATTACTCCAATTTTTTATTTATCTAAAAAAAAACATTAAGAGTGAATGATTTTTGTGAATTATTAGATTAAGTCATTTATTTTTATATATTTATAAACTTCAGTTGGTAGTGCATGTTTTTATAATCATTAATTCATTGATCGGTATTGGTTGTCATCATTTAAAAAATTATTATTATTAAAATGTAAAATAAACAGATTAGAACTATTTTTCAACTTACTGATAATTTTGGGTTGATAAAGCCAATATTCATCTCTACTTGGCTGGAAAAAATAACGGAATTCTTAATAGATTGTAAATATTATAAATTTGTACAATTTATTTTATAATAAAGATAATTCAGTTGGTAGTGCATGTGTTTTTATAATCATTGATTCAGCAATCGGTGTAAAATTTCATCATAGTAATAACAAATTCCATCGAAACAAAAATAATTGAAATATGTAATTAATATTTAACTCAACTTACCACTATCATTTATTCGATTATTGATTTTTAATTATCTCTGTTATGAGTTGGACTCTGATACTAAACTACTACATGCTGGGAATTATTTAACGCCACGCCACGATGTTCATTAACTTATAACCTAAAATATTAAGTCAATGATAAAAATAGTAATTAAATGATGATGAAATATGATTAAAACTAATTATAATCTGTTAAGATGTAATTAAAGTTCTAGTATAAATTGTAGGATCGTTAAACTATTTTTAGATTACAAATTTTAAATACTCACTTGATACAAAACATCATTGTCTGGCCAAGACATTTGTTTATCATAAATAAGATATTGCTCAAGATATTTTTAATGATTTATAAAATGTAAAATTAACCAAATAACTATTATTATTAATAAAACTATTAAAACTCATGTTGTAATATGATTAAATGTTCTAATGACTTGATATCTTCAAATATCGATTTGATAATAAGGATCTAAAATTTTTCTGACTCTGAAAACACTTGAAAATCCCTCTGGTGTTCATTCGTCCAAGTAAATCAAAAAGCTAAAGAGACTCTGAAGCCAAAGATTTTTATGGTTTTACGAACGCAGGCTGTTATTATACTTTCATAGCGTCCTCCCTCTCTACTCACTTTACATTCACTACAATGCCTGTACTATAAACATTCACGCCTGTACATATTAGTAATCAAGAAAGATTAATCATCTCAGTTAAATAGTTGGATGTTTCATCGTTTCAAATAGCCACAAACCACCTTGCGTGCAATTGTGATTTTGGCAGCTATTTTTCAACTAAATTATTATTTTTGTAAGTTATTTAGCAAATAGCTAAGCGTCACCAGAGGCTTTAGTTTGTAGTGTTTATAGTGTTTAATTATAATTCAAAAGTACAAAGTTTTGGTGATGGTAGATATATTAATTAATATCTAAAAATAGTAATTACAGTAATAACAAATTAATGGCAAACATGTGAATATTATCTAAACTACTTAGAACACAAATAAATTGCTAAAGTGCACTCTATGCTATTCTAAAGGAAAACGGAGTTACTTTTCTAGGTGAGTATCACGATGTCCTCAATATTATTAAGCAATACATCATGTTTATCTTGATACTGTCATTAGTTAATAATACATATATATTTTTTCCAGTTTATATTATATAAATTTTAATAACAATGGCTCAAGCGACAACAATTGAAACAGTAACAATCACCAGGCCACTAAAGGTACGTCGATTGATCATACCACTTTATCATTATCATTTTTATCGATGTTAACTGTCAAACTCTTTCTCTTTTTCTCTCATACCACATTAAATAATATTTGGCACAACTGACAACTAAATATGTCTTGGATTCCACTCATACTTTCTCTCTTGTTCTCTTTTGGCAAGAATATTTTCGCGCACGCGTAACCTGATGACAAAAATCGACAAGCGCAGTCGCTCTGAATGTTCTCACGCCACCCAACGACCCTATTAAAGTGGTAGTCTGAATGCTGAGCATTGGAGTCATTTGTTAATTTGATATTACGACAAAAAAAAATGACCTAAATATATACAATCCAAGTGTAATGATGTTTAAATATTTGATAAGTTTATAGTAGTGCTAATAAATTCGTGAGTGATGGTGATGATTTTTTGATAAATCTTATAAAATATGATTGAGGTTGAAAGATTTAAGAGAAGAAACTGGTAAGGTGTTTCGACTGTTCCCTCAAACGCCTCACCCTCAATAAATTCAGTTGAATGATCTATGGCGGGGTTTACAGGGGTCTATGATGTTCCATAAAATTTATAAATAATAATGAGTTCAGTCATTACTATAATATCTACTTATAGTTAATAATTAATATTGCAATTACTAATTTGAGAAGAAGTGTTCGATTTTACTTAATCATTAATCTTGTATTTGTTTAATCACAAAGTGAAAAAAATGATTATGTATACTGTAGCTGAAGATCATATGGGAGAGAATGAAATCGCCCAGGTATTATTAATACAATAAACCTTTAGAATATTTTTTTTTCTTTTATCATAGAAATTATTTTTTCAAAGCATGATTAATGTAATAGATTCATTAATCAAAACTTTTGAGGAAACGTATTTTTATATAGAACAACAATAATACAAAAGCTTCTCCAATACTTCATACGAATAATTGTGGAAGTATTTTTCCTCAAAATATTAATATTTTTTCCACTGAATGATTTTATTGATTGTTATTATACTCTGTAACAAAAGTTTCAAACTTCACGAAATATGTAGATTGAAATGTATATAACTTTTTAGGTGATAGCATTTATATGCGGAGTTATTGTGATAATTCTGATGATCATGGGCTTGGCATCAACGGATTGGTTAATGGCAGTAGGCTGGCGGCAAGGACTTTTTGCTCACTGTATTGAGGAAGGTGCAGAGACTCCTCTGCCATTCAACGTCGTTGCTGGTCCAGGATGTTACCAAGCTAGAGATGTTGGTTATATTAAAGCTGTAGCAGCGCTTTGCATAGTTTGTCTAGTTGCTGATGTTATAGCGACGCTCCTAACCGGTCTAGGATTAAGGTCTAAGGATCACCGAGATAAACACAAGTGGTACAGGATTGCTGTATTTTGTATGGGCCTAGCACGTAAGTTCTAATCATCATTTCTGTTATCATCAATCTTAATTACTTTTTCTTAATTAATTTTAATTGTTGTTTTTTGTATTTACAGTTGTAGCTCTTCTACTTGCTCTAATTATTTATCCAGTTTTCTTTTCTGGAGAGCTTACTTTAGGCAACAGAACGGTCTGGGAATTCGGATGGGCCTATGGAGTTGGTTGGGGTGCGGCAATATTTTTATTCGGCGGCGTAGTGCTTTTACTGTGTGACAAAGAAAGCGAAGAAATTTACTATAAAGAAAGAAAAATAGTTCGTGAGGACATAGCTACTGGGAATAGTTCAATGATAGGCCATGGTATCGGTAGTCATCATGGATCCGGGAGAGGCGGTATTCAACACGCCTAGTGGCATTGTACCCTGCCCGATGTTGTCCTCTAGATCAATTTAACTGTTTTTTTAAAAATATTTTTTTATATTTATAATTTCCAAAGCGTGTACTTTTCCCAAAATCTTATGATGATAATCGCAAGGATAAATCAACAAATTATTGACATAAAAAGTCGGAAACTGATTCGCTTAAGACTCTGTATCTGTCTACCACTGCTGCGCCATTGTAAAATCTTTGATAATTTTTATTTTGCACATCAACAACATTTAATTATCCATTCATTCATTATGACCATCAATTATCGATTAAGATAATAAGTATGTAATTATACATATTACTTGAGTTTACTAAATGAATTGCGTGCAAAGGTTGAAAGTAAGAGGGACCTTTTGCCAAAAAACTAGTGGCTTGAATATATTTTTTTTAATTGTTATAAATATAACGATTGTGGGACCATATTTTCAATATTATTTTATCTAAATTTAACCTTTTATTATAAATTATTTTATCTATTAAAAAATCCGAATTTTCATACTATTTGAATTTTTGGATAAACATTTTTTTTATAAAAAGTAGAATTCTTTTGTTGATTCTATCCTTTTTTTATGAATGCATTAAATGAAGAACTGTAATAGAATGGCTTTCAAAATATTAATGATTTTTACTATTCATGACTTTGAATTTTGTTACTAAGAATAATTGTCTCTATACAATGTAATAGCATTGATTTTTTTTATGACAAATGATCTCTATAAATTACTACTATCACCAATTAATTTAATTCATTAGTAATTCACGTAAACTTATATGTAGTTTCATTCATAAAAATTTGATCAATATCATAAAACATACTTCAATAAAGTTATAATTTAAAGAGCGTAGCAGTTTAAAATAATAAGAGCATGGCAAAAACACAAACAAGGTAAAAAAAAAAACAAATAGTATTAAATTATCTTCCAGTTTTAAAAAAAATCATATGTAATATGTAAGATATTAATTAGTGTCCCTCATAGTTACTGCAACGTCTTTGCATAATTTTTTCCAACACTTGTGGGAATTTTTTTTTCTTGTAATTGGCAAAATTAAATTATGATTTATTTATCAATATGCTAATGTTTACCGTTATTAATACACAGTGAAAAATGTGTAAATTATTATTTTTAAATTGATAAAGAACCAAATAAAATGGTAAGAAAATAAAAGCAGCTCGGGCAGGTATAACAAATCCATTGCGCCACTTGTATTACAAACAGCATATGTATATAATCTAGAGATTTTATAAATGAATTTTATTATCATAGAACCAATTTATTGATAACTAATAGAGACAGAATATTGTACCTTATTGGCATGAGTGCGTAATTATTGACTTAATATAGATGAAAAAGTTGAATTACTTGTATAATTACTATACTTTTGTTGGCGCATTTTTCAGTATTTAACACACGATATACTTGCGCGATACAAATTTACCAACTTCCGACAAAGTTGATAGAAACGTAAAAAAACTTTCCTGTGCATTGTCGAGCATAAATTTCTGACTAATTTAATAGCCAAAATTGTGATTCAAGTATATGATTAAACATAATATGAATAAAAATGCGTTGACGCGATAAAAAAACTCCTCAATAACTTATAAGATTTAAAGGATGCATTCATTAAAAAGGCTGTAAAATGTCCGTCTCGTTGACTTTGTAAAATTTCGAGTCAAGTGATGAATGACGCATGTATGATTTATATACGTAGCTGAACAATAATATTTTAGATCATGAGTAATAAGATTAAACGTGATTCTTTGGCACTTTCATATCAAATGATAAACATATCGTTATATATTGAAATTAATTACTCTATACATATATTATTAATGTAGAAAAAATATCATGAGCACGTTACCAGTAAATGAACGAGAATAAAGAAAGTAAATATATAAATTATAATGAAAGTTAGTTGTCTTTTTAAACAATGAAAGACGTAGAATTTAGTGAGAGTACTATTGATGTTGGTGTTAGAATCGATGGTCCATTATCATTTGTTGTCAACATATCGCAGTATTGTACAAAAAAAATAAAAGTATCCGTCGAAAATTATGTTTATTATTATTAATGTTGTAATTCCAAGACTTACCAGTGTTAAAGAATTCATTAATCAAGATAATCAGGATGAAAGAAACAATCCAGTTGCAACACTTCTTGTCATAACTTTTTTTATCTCATTTTAAGTCACGATTTTATGTATTATTAATTATAATGACACTTTCCCTTATCTATGACACTATGTTTATTGTTTATATGCATGAAACTGTTCAAATTAAAAATTTCAAAAATAAAATGTCTGGTTTAACGCCATCTTCAATGACACTTACATCAACCGCCCTCTTGCAGCTTTTAGCACAAGTTTGAACACAAATTACCGCCATTTTTTTTAAAAGAATTTGTTTCTTCTTAGAAACTTGAATTCAATCAGCTTTATTTTCTATCAAATTAATAATTATTTGAGCTCAATATCCTATCACTTGATTTATAAATTATTTTTTTTTTATAAATGTATTCGAGTTTGAAAAGGCATTACAGAATTTTGATCGATTGTTTACATCAATTTAATACCTCAAAATATAAGTTTGCGGTAAACGTCGAACTACTCTAATTAGATTTTCTTTTTCTCATTCAATAAGAAATGTATTATTTTTATAATTAAATCTTGATCAATTATGTTTAACAACCCTATATAATTGACTCACTTAACTTTTAATAATAACATAATTTATCATCAAGTCTATCAGTTGTTACTCTAGCTAAAATGCGATGTGGTCAGATTAACTTCCGAATGATTACTGACTGAATTAAACTGAGTCATCCAAACAACTCGCTCTCTCTCACTCTCTCTAATCTTATAAGCATGAACATTCAAGGGCATCCGTTGCACTTAATATCCAAAATATCTGAAGTTATCTCTGGGTTGAAATTTTTATAATTTTAATCCATTATATTTGTTGAGTAAATATTTTTTTATTAATATTACATAAATATTAAATAAAATTAATTAAAGATTTTTTAAATCTACAAAAATAATATTTATTTTACTATTAATAATGTCGATAAAAGAAGAACCAAAATTAATTTGGACCAAAGTACGGAAGTGAGTAAATTATTAATTAGTCACAAATATCTAATATAAATAATATTAGATTATTATAGTTTATGGCTATTACATAATTGTATAATTAATGAATAAATGAATAATAAAAAAAAATTGTTTTCAATAATATTGGTAATTAGTAACAAAATAGTCCGAATAAAAAATAGTTTGCTAATGATAAGTAAATAGAAACTTGAATACCAACTATTTTAAGATTTCCGAGAAAAACCAAATCTTTTCGGTGGTTATATGAAGGTCAAGTCCTAAATAACACTTTCCATGGATTTGGAATCCTCACAAAAATTTATAAAGATGAAGAATGTAAAAAATTTTATGCTGGTGATTGGATTAATAGCAAAAGAAGTGGATCTGGTCAGTGTTGGTATGATAATGGTGATTACTATGAAGGGAATTTCTTGAACAATAAAAGACACGGATTCGGACGAATGTGGTATAGAGATGGAAGTTTTTATCAAGGACTGTGGGAAAATGATTTACATAATGGAACGGGATTGTTAGTCCAAAGTAAATATTTTTTTTTCCATTAAGTAAACCATTATTACATATCATATGAGTGAAATGTTGGTGAATTCAAGGTAATGGAAATCGATACGAAGGACAGTTTGAGTTCGATCAAAAACATGGAGACGGTATATTTTATCATGTAAAAACGGGTCAAATACAAAAAGGATATTGGGTTAATAATCAATGTAAATCAAGCATAATTCAAGATACACATTGGCGTCAAGTAACCTCTTATTCTACGCCATATCCCATCCCAAAATTAGTAAGTATAAATCACAAACATTTTATCATTCTAATTGTTATTTATTAATTATATTTTTTTAATATAAATGTTGGCTTTGTAGGACCCCACTATCAATGATAATCAGTAAACCATTGGAGGTAGAAATGACTAATAGTATGGTCTAATAACTGAACCCAAAAGATTCAATACAACTCATCAATTACTCAATTAGTTAGTTCATTATTAGATTGTATTATAATAATATCATTAAGTCACGATGCGTGAAAAAGGGAATGTATTGGGGTATGTACAAGATATAATAGAGCAAAATAATTTTTATGGAATATTAATAATTTTTATAAATCACTCACTGAACCACTGTGAAAAACCAATCGGAAGACGTCGTTAAAAATTGGTTCATTTCACTGTTTTAAACACAATTGCACTAATATTCAAACAATGTGTGTGCTAGATTGTTGTAACATATTGAGTCCATTTCTCCCTTCAACATCTGTAGATTCAATTTGCTCTTTCAGAAGTTCCAGTTCTCTTATTCCTGACACTGTCACTTCGTATTTATGCGCCACAAGACTCCGATAAAAATGAATAGCAAATGCAAGAAAAATGATGAGAACTGGGATGAGCACGATGCAAGCTGACCATGCAGCAACTTGTGAAAAGTCATAAAATTTTACCCAGCATAAAATAGCTATTTCTAAAAGAAATAAAAGAAGTCCAAGAAGAGTTGAGAAAGCCCAAGCAACTTCGATGTACCAATGCAGTCGTTCGTGCGGAGATTCATGAACAAGACTTATACTATGGAGATTACAAACAGCTTCAATATTTGGTAAAATACACGTTGAAATCATCAAGGCAAGCATGTGAACAGCTACAAGTAACGTTGTACAAACAGCAAAAGCAATTAACATTTCTGTGGGAACTTTAGTTTCGGCATTCAGCTGTACTTCCACCATTGCCACCTAAAATATTCATGTATCATTTATTTGTATATTTATTTATTTAATTACTGTTAATTTTTAAATTATAAATAACAATTGATTATCTTACCATAGCAAATCCAGAAAGTAAAGCTGAAGTTTTACTAGAAGCTTTAAGTTTGGCTCTACTAAGCTGTAATTTTCTCCATGAAAGATAACTTGGTGTATGGAGGCCATCTCCTGATTGAGACATTTTAGCCTGTTTAAAATATAATACAAATAGTTATAATATATTAATGTATCGAAACAGACTTCATGTTGTTAGTTACGAAAGGTTCAGCTGCCGCAGTTGAAACTAAAATTGGAGGGTGCCGGGATAGCTAATCTAAGGGGAGCAAAACGTACCAATTAAATGACGATGCCAACAACAGAGGAGGGAGTACTCGGTGGGATTTCCTCACGTTGTAAAAAAACCAATGGATGCTGATCCAAACAGAACAATAATAATAATAATAAATTAAAATAAATTGATTGTAAAAAATGAAAAAACAAAAACAACGAATATATGAAGACCGTTATGATGCTAGAATGCTGAATAGAATTTCAAACACTAAAGAATGTCAAAGATAATTGAAAAAGAAACCGAAATCAGCGAACCTCATGATTTTTTAATTTTTTAGACAGTTTTTTGGAAATCAAATGATGGAAATGAATGATTGTTTACGATGATTTGAAGTTAAAAATATTTAAAAAATGGATATATATTAAATAAGGTGGTTAAAGCAAGGTGGAAGTGAAGATGTAATTAAAAAAAACGATAGTAAAACCTTACTTGACAATTATAATATCGTTTATGGAAGCAATGACCGTCACTAGTATGCAAATGAGAGTGTGAATGAACGTAAAGTGGTGTCGGCTGAGCAGCAGACGGTCTTGTTGATCCACCCTCTGCACCAAACACTGAGTTGCGTCCGGTGCTTGTTGACCATACAGACATTAGGCTGATATATTATGTGAATTCAAGGATAGATGCTGAAACAGACAAAAGTACTATAATTCACACGTGATGTTTGTAATTACACATGTAATTATCACAATTTTATCTATTATTTTATATTATTTTTTAAAATTTTGTTTACATGTATTCACTATTTTTTTCTTAATAAGGTAGAACAATTTTTATCCAAAGTTTACACAACACTTAGATAATTCAAAATTGCATTGTAGTGAAAGGGTATACCATATCTCTGCTGCTCGTCCAGTTTAATTTTGCTCACAGTAATAAAACCGCACGCAACCTTCACAAAGATTGTGGGTCATGGGTAATAGACGTTATTTCTATGCTGAGCTAATTATAAACAATGTATAAATCATGTAATCAAAACAATAATAATTTCATCTTAGACAATGGGTATTTATGTAACAACTGAGGTTTAACAATTTTTATTACTGGTAATAATTAAGTCTCAATGCAGTATTCTCATTGATCATCCAAGTCTCTCTTTAATCTATTTTTAATATATCACTCGCTCACTTTTGAAGATTGCCAAAAGTTACGTGTAAAAGACTACATGCATGAAAAAAAACCTGTCAACTTTTTCTTTGACGTAATGCATCAAAGAGCAAATGTTGTGTTGTTAATAATTGAAGCAAAAACATCTTTTATTGTGCTTATTAACAAAAAAATAAAAATAAAAACCAACGTTTAATTTAGCAAAACAACTTTTACCGCAATTTGAGTAATTCATAATGATAGTTCCAAGTAGTTGTATGTATAATATGCATTCTCATTTCAATAACGATCATTAAGCAATTTAAAAGATGGTTACATAGTATATACTAAGTATTGATAGAAAACATTCTTAAGTGTTTGAACAACTTTTTAATTTGGAATGTGTTTTCACAACTAAACTCGTTTAGCTGAATTGAATTGTACGGAGAAACACAATCAGCTCGAGCTATTGCTCAAATGAGACTGAATGACAGTGGTGAACAAGTGCAGCGACACTGAATCCAGATATATTTGTATAATACATACATAGACAGGCACAAAGAACAGAAACGTTCACATGTTTATATATATATACACTGAGTTTCGAACTCGAAACTTGAACAGTTGTCATAAAACTTATGACAATGGACGTGACACAATATATATCTATACAAAATGAATAATACTATGAAATCCTGATTTATTTCAAAATTGATAAATAAAATGTTTGAAAAAAATGATTCTAAGAAAGGTAATTTAAATCTTCATGGAAGGTGCCCATTTTTTCCGCTCATATATCACATGTATATGGAAGAATTGATTATACATGCGAACGTGGCGTAACCAATCCATCTAACATTTAAACAAAAAATATAAACTCTCTTGAGAAGTAGAATGAATACAAGTGTGCATACATTTAGAATGTGCAAATAGCTTAGTAAAGAAACGTGCTTCTTTAATAAATATTTAATCTTATCTCTCCAGTGTGAATACATAATAATTATGCGTACGTTAATTATCTCATAACAATTCAATTCAGTAATATTAAATTAAATGAATTGCAAATGGTTTCAATAAATTCTTTAACATATTAATAAATCGGTAGGTTAATTAATTGAGCAAATGACTATAACTATCAGGCCATAGACAGTAGATATAACATTGCAATCTCTGATTATTGCGAATTCTCTTTACTGTCATATACTTTGTATTTGGTAATATTTAGATATTTACACACATTCTCTGTGATGTTGTGTAGTAACCAAGAAATGCAGAGAGAAGGAGTTGAGTGAGCGGATATCTTGTGAGCGAATTGGATTGCTCGATGAGACTTTGGTGTTCAGTCGCTCTTGGAAGTTCAAGTCGAACGATTGTAATTACCACAAAGTTTTACTGCAGTGCATTTTTTCAAATATTCGTTCTATATATGAAAGAAAATCCATGATCCTCTTTTGGGGTCATTGAGACTCTGCAAATTTTTTTATACAAGATTGTGATAAATATACCATTGTCGATAATACATAACTCTTAGAAAGAGGAATAAATAAAAAAACTTGGACAGTATTAAATCTGGTAACTTGAGAGAAATCTAATACTATACCTAAATAAAAATTACAAATTGTTAGAAATATTACACCAGAATGACCAGTTCGGTGAAATCTCTAGCAGATGATGAGCGATTTGCTTTAATGAAAGTAAGTATTCATGCTCTCACAATTTTTTTTCTCCTCATATTTCATATTTTATTGATTAAAACAAATCATCTGGAGATCAGTGAAGAATTCCACACCTCAAAGTAACATGGAAATCTGGAACAAACAAAAACAAAATAATAGTGAAGACCTTGATTAATAATCAAATCTACTTTAAAAATATCAACGGGTACTATTGATAGCAGATAATAAAATAATGACAATCACGTGATTGCTATGCTGATTCATGGGGTCACTTGATTTTTTTTATTTTTGTTTATTGACGTAAACTTTGATCATCAAATATTACTCAGCGTTTTTGTTATACAAATGAGCAAGTACTTTGTTCGAGTTAATGTATAGAATTTATATGGAAGTTCCAAAATAATTGCCGATCACTTTTAGTATTCTAAAAAGAATTCGAGGTCTTGTTAAATTACTTAATAATCATGTCACGTTGAATATGCTATGAACTTGTTGCAAGTTGATTATACTATCACTGCCATTAATTTAACCCGACATTTTGTGATGTAACCTTTATATTTTCTAGTTTAGAAAACTTCTTTATAGCTACTAGCTATCAAAATATTCTAATAATTACACAGAATACATTATCGAACCCAATTTAATCATTTACATAATTCTTCATTAGTTCAATGAGCTATAGCAGCTCTTTTGATTAGTAGTAAGTTTACTACTCAGTTTTATTGGTGACTCCCGAAGCTATGATGTGATCTAACATAAGAGATATTTTTAAAAAATCTTCTTTAGATAGGAAGCCTAATAGAATGTAGAAAACGGGTATATCACTTGATACTTGTTTTACTCAGTATTTTACTAAAAATGTGAAACCAAACGATTTTCAAGGCTATATAAAATGATATTGGCAAACGAAGAGGTGAAAGTGATTTTCGCAGAATTTTTTTGATCGATCGTTGGTCTAAATTGAATTAAGCGAAAGTTCAGTTTCATTTGATCAAAGCGTAGTGGAAAAGTTTGATTACAATCACTGGACTCATTTTCTTCTCTTATTTTACAGTTTAGGCGAAGTGTCCAAGACGTTCTTCAACCACATCATGATGATCATTTTTTACTTCGATGGCTACGAGGTAATTATCAGTAAAGCTAAGTCTTTTATTATCATCTCCTCTTTTCTTCAATTTTTATTCTTAATGATCAATTATTTTATATGATTACAAAGTTATTTCTGTCTTCAGCACGAAAGTGGGACCCAGTTGCAGCAGAAACAATGCTCAGAGAGGTAACTTCAATGATACTTGGTTTTTCAAGTGTTATTTTAAACATTGCAACAAAGAAACATTCTTTCATTGTACAAATATTTATATTTATATAAAAAATAATTAAGTACACAATGAGTTTGAAATAATGAGTAGTTTTGTTGTTTAATGTGAAAGCAGACACTTTCACAAGTACGTAATTTGAATTATCGACATAAAAAGTGTGGAGAACATAATTGTAGCTTAAAGGCTATCATTTAAGCTAGATTAATTGAAGCCATGGCCATTACACAAACTAAAAAGCATTATTTAATAATTAATAGTCGATGGAGTGGAGGAAGAAATGGGATGTTGATAAAATTCATACATGGGAAGAACCACAAGTATTAAAGGACTATTTGGCACATGGGTTATCAGGGTTTGATAAAGATGGAGCTCCAGGTGATTTTATTTTTTATTTAAAAGTTTATTTTATAAATTATATTATGTAACAATAACTATATAATTGTTCTATTGCATGTTAACTTTCAAGTGGTAATTGTGCCTTTTGCTGGAACTGATTTATATGGAGTTCTGCATGTGGTACCAAGAAGAGATATGGTCAAAGCTACAATAAAAATTTTAGAAAAATATTTGGCGATATGTAGAGAGCAATATAGTAAACATGGACCCAATGCAAGTCAATTAGTCGTTATTTTTGACATGGAGGACTTCAATCTTAGACCATATTTGTGGAGGCCAGGTACAATTATTTTTTTACCATTTTTTGAAATGGACATTATTAAAATAAACTTTTTTGAAATATTTTTCAATAGACTTAATAAGCCTTTAATCATCCAGTATTATTTCGTATATCAATCTGACTTTTATAACAAATACTTTCTTTTTAATTATCCTTTTTTGCCATGCTAACTTATCATTATGGATATAATTAGGGATCATTAAAATTCTTCAACAAATCTAAAGCATGATTACTTAATAAAGAGCAAAAATGTAATAAAAATGAATGGTTACATATGATTTTGTTACAATGTAGAAAGACATATGGAATATGTCAAAATAAATATTCATTATTTCTACTACTAATCACATTTTTTAACACACTATTGCGTTATTGCTAATTGGAGCATTTTTTTTGCTTTTTTTTATTATTTTATATATTTACATATTAGAAAGAATTATTGAATGAATCATTTTATTGATCGATCATTCCATTTCTAATCAAAAGTTACAAAAAATATTTTGAGTAAAAAAATTAACGAATAATTATAGTATGTTTTTTATGCACAGCTGGTGAAGTAGTGATAACATTGATACAGATGTACGAAGCAAACTATCCAGAGATATTGAAAACTTGTTTCATAATAAATGGTAAGTAATAACATAGTAACTACAATCATTAGCTAATTACACGAATCCTCTTTACTCCTATATATCCTGTTTTTGTTATTTTTTTTTTAGCTCCGAAGGTTTTTGCATTTGCATTTTCTATTGCTAAGAAATTTATGAATGAATATACGATATCTAAAATTCAAATCTACAAAACAGATTCATCAAAGTGGAAAAAAGCTATTTTTAAATTAGTTCCAAAAGAATCATTACCAGCACACTTTGGAGGAACATTGACTGATCCGGATGGTAATCCACGGCTCATAACTAAAGTAATTCCTCTTTCAGTTCATTGATATGCTTAAAACGTCAATATTTTAGCATAATTTAACATTAAATATATCCATGAACTCTTTATTACAGATATGTCAAGGTGGAAAAGTACCTAAAGAACAGTACTGTTCTACTGATCAAAATAATGAAGACTTTAAATCAGTTGTTGTTCGAAAAGGCGATAAAATGAAGATAGATTTTAAGCCTGATAAAATTGGATCGGTTTTAAGCTGGGAATTTAGAACAGATGATCATGATATTAAGTTTGGAATCACCAAAAATAATGAAAATGGGGAACAGTCAGAAATCGTTCCTTTACACAGGGTTCCTGCTCATCAATTAGATGAAATCGGAGTATTAACATGTGAAGACTTAGCAACATGTAAGTTAATTGTAATAAAACACATTTTATGAATCATCACTAACTTTTATACCAGCACCTTTTGACTTCTGAAAAAATTATAAAAGTAGTTGATATCTTATAATTTTAGAAAAAAATTTTAAATCATAAATTTAGAGTTAACGATAAAACTTTTACAATGAATTGATACAAGATAATAGATTTGATATTTATCACTACCATTTGTTCAAATATTATTTAACATTTTTAATTACATAACTACTCGACGTTATTCTGATAATACAGAATATTTAAGATCCAAATATATTTTTTTAATATTTGCTTTTTTTCAGACTCTGTTGTTTTCGATAATACTTATAGTTTTTTGAGAAATAAAAAAGTCCACTACAATATTCGTATTGAAGAACCGAGAGATGACTTACAAGAAATTGCATTGAATGATGCATAAATTAGCCAATCTAACAATTAAGGCTGTGGTGAATAGAATAAGAATGTGGTACTAATATAAATAACTTTTTTTGTATACAATTTATGGGATGTAAATATATATAAAAATAAGAATTGTATGAAATGATAATAGATGTATTTTTATTTATTTAATCATCATCATCAGTCACCATCATTTCAATAAGTTCAATGTTTAAACATTGATCCCCTTCCAAACGTTTTTGAGTTCCCCATAGTGATAATGTTGGCAAAACGTTTAATTTTGTCTTTGGATTTGTACGGAATGGACATTTTGGATCTTTCCAGCTAAAATTTCATGTTATATTTCTTTTAATTTATCTAAAAGTACTTTAAATTATTCAGTGTATGTATATTAATTATCTCTTACAATGCTCGATCACCAACTTCAACATAAATAAAAGGTGCTGATTCCGGAGCAGCTTTCAAACCTTTCTCAATGAATGGTTCAGCTGTTTAAGAAGAAAGCAAATAATAATTAATTAAATGCAATAATTAATTAATAAGGCAGTAAAAACTTTATGTTTGATGATATACCGTCAACGCAATCTGGACACCAGCTCCGACCACTAGGAAGTTTACTTCCACTGAAAAGCACAATTATAGGCTTGTTTGATTGCTGGTTTTCAATAGATTCCATGAACTTGAAAAAATTATCGTATCCTTCAACATGATGTTTTACAACCATTTTTTACCGGAAAAAAACTTAGCCAACGGAATGTATTATTCTTACTGATATAAAAATTCAAATCACACTATTCTCCTACTGAGTCGTTATCTATGTTGAATGTTCAGTATAAAACGATAATAATAGATTATGAAAATTGTACAAGTGTTTGTTACAATAATGAGAATAAACAAGGCAGCACAAACTGGCACCAATTAAATACAGATACGATTCGTTTTTGATATTTTTATCCTCGTGGAGGCATATATGTCTCGTTAACACTGTAAAAATATATTGTTTTGGACATCTTCACTCTAACCTCAATATAACAACAGCTGATCACATAACAATCGTTTATAACGACACGATTATTAATAACAAAATATACGGAAAAGCAATAATTAATATGGGTTTCTGGTACACGAGCGGCAATTTGATAGTATTTATATGACACATCTAATTAGTAATATTTTACTTATAACTTTATTCTTGTAAATGAAATTGGAGCGCTTATAAGTTTTTTTAGGTATTAAAAATGAGCGAATCATAAATGGCCACTACTAATATCGTTAAATTAAAACATCTGTAATTATTATCCGTGTCGAGTCATTTGCGAAAAAATTTTCTTACATATATTAAACAAAGACTGAGTGATATTTATCATTTTTTTCACATTTTATAACGACTGAAAATCACAGTTTACCAACATATTGCTGTGCAATCATATATTTTTATCGCGTTTCCTTTTAATTTTTTAATAGGAAATTGACAGCTTATAAAAAAAGTTATCCTTATTGTATGTGTGTGTGTTTTTAGAACGAATTGATTGCTAATGCACTCATCAATTAAAAAATAATTACAAAAAAAATTTATAAAAATGGAGTAGTTATTTAACAAAAAAAAACAAATGAATTAACAGTATCATAAATCAAGGTCGAAAAAAATAGAAAAATAGACTACTAAATTATGTTAATAGTAATATTTAGAAAGATTTAAATTAAAGATGAGTTTACCGTAAATTTAATTTGACTAACCTTAAAATTGTTGTGTAATGAAGAATATTTGTGTACTATTTAACTCATTTAAATAAATTTTTAAAAAATATTTACTATTACTAAATCACAAATTTTTGTATTCATATATCAACACTGCCGACATATTGAAAATGCCAAGAAAAGTCAGTGTGAAAATTATCGACAGTCAGTTCCTAGGGGCGTTAGCATCGAATATTTTTTATGTATATTCTGAGGTGCAGCTTGGTTGCAAAGTGCAGAGGGTGTAGAACACTGTACAGTATTGTATCAAGCACTTCTTTCTCCTCTTCTCTTTTCTTGGCGTTCCAGAAACATAAATTTGAAGGCAAAGGCATCTGAGGAATTGAGGTGTACAGGAAGTGCATGCAGGTGTTGGAAATACTCCCCCCCCTAGCCATGTCGAGTGTTGAGTAAGAATGAGGTTCAGTGTTGAAACGCTCCAGCTGTAAATTGTCGAAATACAAGATTTAACGGAACAAAATCAATTATTGGGATTTAAGTAAATATACTGAGATAAAAAACTTAAATGTTATCAACATAAAAAGTGAAAAGAGTTAAACGGAAACATTTAAATGTAAGTAAAAATTGCATGCGTCCTTGCTACTGATTTTCCATATCGTAAATACAATTGATAAAGTTTCCAAGCGTGGGTATGCTTGGGATGGCTTGGGTATGCTTCACAGCAGCTGAAGTTTGCTTAAGCGCATCACTCAACAGATTATTATTTTGAGATGCATGTTGCAGACTTGGTGAAAGAATGGCGGCGGTTTTTGACATTGAGTTACATGATGTAGACACAATTGATAAAGAAGAATCTGATGACGACGTAATAGAAATGGGAGAGGTAAATATTCTAGGAAAATTGTGTAAATATATATATTTTATCTATATTTTGTTGTTTTAGGGAGAATATTATACCAATCCTAATGTTAATGAGATAATTGAGTGAGTATGACGTGTTATTATTAGTCATCGTTTTTGGTTCCACAAAATATAAAAAATAATTATGACTTTTTTAGCGATGAAGGTGTCGAGAAAGTTCCCATTTCAGAACAAAATGTAAACCGGGGAAGAGAAAGGGCTGGACCACAAGATTTTGAGTTATGTAAAGTTATAGGGAAAGGTGGATATGGAAAAGTATTTCAAGTACGAAAAATTACTGGAAATGACGCTGGAACTATCTTTGCTATGAAGGTGATTATCATTAGTTAAAAAATTTTTGTAGTATACATAATTTTAAACTAATTACGAATTTTAACTTATTAAAAGGTATTAAGAAAGGCTTCGATCATTAGAAACCAAAAGGATACTGCTCATACTAAAGCCGAAAGAAATATTTTAGAAGCCGTAAAACATCCTTTCATCGTGGATTTAATGTACGCTTTCCAAACTGGGGAAAAGTTATATTTAATTTTAGAATATATGTGCGGGGGGGAATTATTTCGGCATTTAAATGCTGAAGGAATCTTTCTCGAAGACACAGCATGCTTCTATTTGTCAGAAATAATTTTAGCTCTTCAACATCTTCATCAACAAGGTATTATTTACCGTGATTTAAAACCAGAAAATATTTTACTTGATGCCGAAGGACATATCAAGCTTACTGACTTCGGTTTATGTAAGGAACACATTCAAGAAGGTTCAGTAACTCATACATTTTGTGGTACCATTGAATACATGGCTCCTGAGATTTTAACTCGTAGTGGTCATGGAAAAGCTGTAGATTGGTGGAGTCTTGGTACTTTAATGTATGATATGTTAACTGGATCACCTCCATTCACTTCAGATAATCGTAGAAGAACTATTGAAAAAATTCTGAAAGCAAAACTAATTTTTCCTCTGTATGTAACTCATGATGCTCGTGATCTTATTCGTAAACTACTAAAAAGACAAGTACCACAACGATTAGGATCAGGACCATCAGATGCAGAGGACATTAAAAATCATCTCTTTTTCAAACATATTAATTGGGACGATGTAATATCACGTAAACTTGAACCACCATTCAGACCAAAGTTAAGTAGTGAAGACGATGTATCCCAGTTCGATAAACGATTTACCAATTCAGCCCCTATAGATTCACCACCTGGATATACTTTGAGCGAATCAGCTAATCGAGTGTTCCAAGTTAGTATTTATAGTTTATTTTATTTTTATTATTATTAACAACCATTACACTTAATGATTTTCTATAGGGGTTTACATATGTTGCTCCAAGCATCCTAGAAGGAATGTATGCCCAGCCACGAATTGTGAGTACTAGAAGTCCACGAAAAAATGTCATGAAGGGTTTTTCACCCCGAACAAATCATTTTCATCTTCATCACAGGTAAATTTGTAACGTCCATAGCATCTAATAATTTTTTTTAATTCTGTCGTATTTACAATATTCATTGATGTCCTCAGGCATAACGGCGTGGGACACAACGGTTTAGAGGATTCTGAAATGATAGAAATAGGTTAATGACAAAGTAACATAACTAATATGAATTTATAGTTGGTTGCATTTTGCGGCTCAGCCATCGATCTTCAATGTATGGTCATTAAATCTCAGGGAAGGATTTTATAAATAAAATCGTCAGAATGACTGTGCTAATTGATTTATGTGAAATAAAAATTTCATGTAATTGGTCGATGGCTGAATTTAGCTAATTTTATTTATCATTAATTATATACTCTTATTAATATTAATTTTATGTCAATGATAAATAATAAGTTAAAGGGAAAAGAGTGCATTATTGCATTTGACTCGTAGTGGTCTTTTGAAAAAAAACTTTACTTTTTTATTTTAACAAGACAAAATATTTTCGAATTATTCATTTTATTAATCAATGTGTTGCGCCTAATTAATTCATTCAGAAAAAAAAAAAATTTTAGTTACCTATATAATAATAAAAGAATTGAAATTTATCATTAATAATTGTGAATGAATCGATATTAAACTTTTTATTTGGTTTTTTTTATGAAATAATTTTTAAAAATTAAGTATCCATACTCAGTGTGAAGTTAGTAAAATAAATACTTAAACAGATTATAAAAATGTGAAGATAAATAATGATAAAATGACAAGAAACTTTTTTATTTGATGAATAAGCTATGAACAAATATATTTCTCTGGCCATTGACTTGAATCGAAAAACTGCCCAAGTGTTCAGGGACTTTTGTCGACCAACGATTGACAGGCGACCTAGTCCAATATTATTATATTTTTAAAGTATTTTTGTGCCGTATAAAACAATATTATCGATAAAAATCTTCCGTGTAATATTTAAATAACGATAGCATTAATAATAATAATACTATTAATAATGAACAGTTAAAAAATAGAAGTAATTTCATTTATTATGCTATCGAATCAAATAACTTTAATCGATCAAGCTATTATCTCGATTAAAGTTTGGATCATCTTAGGAAAATACATTATACCGGTAATACACAGTTATTGGAGTCTTAGTAACCATCGTTATATAAACAACATAAACATATAACTGGAATTTAATTTATGAAATATTTATTAAATGAATACGCACCGTTAATAAGCAACTGCTTAATGTTAGAAAAATGTAACAATGATTTTTAGCACTAGAGACAATGATAGAACTTTAGCTAATTTTTACCATGATATATAGATTTACTAACGAAGCGTATAATATTCTTTTTACTCATGAAAATGGTACTGACAGATTCTTTATATAAAATTTAAATAAATATTTGCACGAATGTGGAGCTATTTATTACCATTAATTCATCTTATCTGAAGCTAGAGCTAAAGATAAATAAATTAGGAATTATAAATGTGGCAACTTATATTTTTTAATGGCCGGAGGGTGTAAATCGTTTGATAAATATATGATGCACTGCCGTAATTGATCATTATGCTTAGTTTAAAAATATGTCTTAATGTTAAATGTCTCTTTTTTTTTTTACTTATTATATAAATATTTTCAATAAATCTTTATACGGCGATATCATATAAATTCATTATATTAATTACATTTCGTTTTGCCAATTGGTAATTTATATACAGGCATTTTTAGAGGATTTCGATAAACATATAATTTTTAAGAACAAATAATATTATTTCAAAGTTTTATAAAAATTATGTTAGTTAAACTAATTAATAAAACTAAATAAATGTTAATATTAACAACAGTTTCAAGATATTTGTTTATTTTTAAACCATCCCAAGCAATTAAAACATTACAAGTTACAATTCTTTTTTACTTGATTTATTTATCAAAGCAATATTTATATAATAAAGGAGTCAATGTAATTGTTGTTAGTGATATTTGGCATAAACTCCTAACATAAATGTATGCATGAATATGCACTAATTATGACACAGCATGAAATGATACAAAAAAAGTAAGAATTTTTGAAAATGTATTTAATTTTATGAAAAAAAAACTAATCAATTGTTATTAATTATTAATTATACAAAGAGGGATAAATGAACGAAATTTGTGATAATTAGTTTTAGACGTTCGGGCGTCATTTTATTCATATAGCGAAACGTACATCTATTTACAGAAAAAATTAAAGAAAACAGTGATGATACCTACTAACGATTTCATAAAAATAATTCTTAGGTGATCTATTCATAAATATCTTCTCGATCTGCAATGTAACGAACGAGAGCTGCTGGAGTCATGAGCTTTTCAGCATCTACATCAGGAATTTCAAATCCAAAGTCGTCTTCAACTGCCATTATTACTTCTACATGATCAAGTGAATCTAGACCCAAGTCATTAATGAAGTGAGACTCGAGGGTAAGCTGTTGAATAAAAAAAAGTCATGTTAAATAAATGAATTTTACACTAAAGCTTGAGCCACGAAACGAGCTAGATACAGATGTATCAAGTACCTTGGTTGGGTCAATTTTATCATAGAGTTGAAGAATCAAGATCACTCTTTCTCTAATAACATTCAGTGTCAATGGAGGTCTATCGCCATAGCATCGTATTTGCTCGACTCGTGGCTCCTGCGGACAGCAAAAATAAATTCTTTTACACAAAGAATTTAAATTATGTTAACCTTATCAGCTGATATTTTATCATAAGCCGCAACTACTTTCATCACTCTTTCTCTAATTTTTTCTTCTGGCATTTTCTGTCGCGGACGATATGAATAATATCTGTAAGTTGTCCAGCAACTGACCTATGAAGATTTAAGAAATTCTATTTATCCAGTATAACTCATTCACTTATCATTTACTAATGTTCTGTTTGTTTAATGACATTATATAACCTAGTTACTAAAAATTCATTATTGTTGATGTTAAACCCTTTATACCTGAGGAAAGGTTGAAGTAATAAATTTTTTGGCAGAAACATTTGTCTGAATGTGAATAAACCTCTGGGCCGGGTGGGAAGCCAAAACTACAGCAGGTCTCTGTACTCCAAGAGTTGTGGTAATTTGTTTCAAGTTACCTGAGTTCCGACTTAAAATTCTAATCTTCGTGATAAAAGCCATCGTATATGGCAGTATTTGTCAATGAATCTATTGTTATTAACAAAGGACGTCGATTATTTCGTACGCCAATGATTTGAATGTTCCGAACAGACTTGGTTAGGAAAATTTTTTCGATCGTTTCAGTTTTTAACGAAGAAAGAGAAAGAGAGATAGAGCAATAAAGAAAGAGATTTTTATGTACCACACTGTGCACGGTGTGTTATATATATTATATATATATTCTATGTGACGTATTAAATGTATGTATGTGTGAATAGTCACGTGATACTTCGTTTTCCGGTGTTAATCCGTAGGTCGTCATATTATTGACAGTAGTCAAAGTAATAATTATTCATTATTATTACCCATTGATCAACTTATTTATTTACATCGAATGGTTTTTATTGAGGTTAGTCAATTAGGTTAGTTTATAATTTGTGTGGGAGGGATTATATCGTCATTATAACAACGTCACTGTAACACCAAACGTCAAGATATGGACTGTTATCGAACGTTTTTTTATTGATGATATAGCCACGACAACGTGTTGTACGTGGACATGGAATTATTTGATTTCTGTATTATTTGAAATTTGTAAATAACCTGTAGACTATTTTACACGATTTTATACTCTGTTATATTTGATACAGATTAGTTATTTTGTGTTTAAAGCTGCTTGAATTTTTTTCTCTGTAAACGAATTCTTTCAACATGGGTAATGCCGATACAAAACTTAATTTCCGTAAAGCTGTTGTCCAATTAACTTCAAAAACTCAAGTAAGTACTATTTTATTAAGTTATAATCGTTTTATTGTTCGTATTTTAACAAATGGATATCATTCACACATAGGTGATTGACGCGAATGATGATAATTTTTGGGATCAATTTTGGTCTGAAAATGTTTCAAGTGTTCAAGATATATTTACATTAATTCCTGCAACGGAAATTCGTCTTTTACGAGAAGAAGCACCATCTAATTTGGCAACATTATGTTACAAAGCTGTGGAAAAGCTAGTTAAAGCTGTCGATAGCAGCTGTAGAACTCAAAGAGAACATATGACAGTTTTAAATTGTTGTCGTTTATTAACAAGACTTCTTCCATATATTTTTGAAGATCCAGATTGGAAAGGATTTTTTTGGTCAAGTTTACCTGGAAAAGAAGAAAACGATGAAAGTGTTCCATTGGCTCATTCTTTATTAAATGCTCTTTGTGACCTTTTATTTTGTCCAGATTTTACAGTTGTTTTAGGACGTAAAAGTGGGCCAGATAAAGCTGAAGAATTACAATCAATAGACAGCTGTGAGTATATTTGGGAAGCAGGGGTAGGCTTTGCTCATTCGCCCCCTCGTTATCCGATTCTCGATGCAAACAGAACAGAACTTTTAAAGCTACTACTCACATGCTTCAGCGAATCCATGTATAATCCTCCCAGTGATCTTTCTGTCATGCCTAATAAATGGATACAACATTTTACTAGCGCAGAAAATCGACATGCTTTGCCGATGTTCACATCTTTAATTAATACTGTATGTGCATATAATCCTGTTGGACTTGGTGTTCCTTATAATCACCTCATTTTCACGGATTCATTGGAGCCTCTTGTTGATGTTGCTTTGCAAATTTTAATTGTGACACTTGACCATGATACTACTGGAAGTGCTGCTACTTGTGAAGAGTCTGCTATTGCTGGAGATAATTTGTTCATTAATTACTTAAGTCGTATTCACAGAGATGAAGGTAATTAAGTTCATCGTTATTCTAAAAATAATTTAAATAAATCAAATAATTATTTAAAAATAATTAATTAATGAAGCAATAAAATTGCCAAACACTTTTACAATAATTTAATATTTTATAATAATTTTATTATGAAGGAAGTGTTTTTAAAAAGATTTGAAAAATAAATATTGTTTCGATTTAATAATTGAAGGAAGGAACATATAATTTACTTATTTCAATATTCAAAATTTAAAGCAACTAACGAAAAAAGATTTTTTAAATGTAATATTTTAAATTGAATTATTATTCATTTTTTTCTTTACAGACTTTCAATTTGTATTAGAAGGAATTACAAGATTATTGAACAATCCTTTGACACAAACTTACTTGCCTAATTCAACGAAGAAAGTCCATTTTCATCAGGAGCTATTAGTGTTCTTCTGGAAAATGTGTGATTATAATAAAAAATTTTTATACTATGTACTCAAAAGTTCAGATGTGCTTGAAGTACTAGTGCCTATTTTATATCATCTCAATGACTCTCGGGCTGATCAATGTAAGTTTATTAAGCCAATTCTTAGAACTGAAAGATATAATTAATTAAATTAGAAAAGTAAATTTATCCATTATTACTCCATGTAGTTTGAGTAAATACGCCATTAATCTGACTAATTAGTTTGTATGTAAATTGATCTATTGATTTTACTTAAAGTAGATTCAAATTAATTTTCTAGATAAATTCTATGAATAATTTTTTGTCAGCTTTTACTTATAATTTAGTAAAAATTTTTTTAATTTACAGCCCGAGTTGGACTTATGCATATCGGTGTGTTTATTCTACTTCTTTTAAGTGGGGAACGAAATTTTGGTGTAAGACTTAATAAGCCATACACAGCAACAGTACCAATGGACATTCCTGTTTTTACTGGCACACATGCTGATCTCTTAGTAACAGTATTTTACAAAATTATTACAACTGGCCATCAAAGACTTCAACCTCTTTTTGACTGTTTACTCACAATTTTGGTAAATGTATCTCCTTACCTTAAAACACTATCAATGGTAGCCAGTACAAAATTACTGCATTTACTCGAAGCATTTAGTGCTCCTTGGTTTTTATTTTCATCACCTACCAACCATCATTTGGTATTTTTCCTGCTAGAGATTTTTAATAACATAATCCAGTATCAATTTGATGGAAATAGCAATTTGGTTTATACAATCATTCGTAAGAGACAAGTTTTTCATGCTTTGGCAAATCTTCCGAGTGACTGTAGTTCGATTGCAATGAATAAAAAACAACGAAGACGGATACCATCACCAAGCACATCGACAGATAATGTAAGTGAGATAACAATGGAAGGATCACATCCAGCTCAGCCTGCTGAACCTGGAACGTTAAATGCAACTTTATTAGAGACACCAGGTATTGAAAAAATGACTGAAAAAGAATCAGCACATCCTCTCAGTCCTTCTGTTGATGTCAATATCAATAAAAACACTGCTATTAATGGAAAACAAGATGAAAATAGTCGAACAGAAAATCAAAACAAGAATAAATCTATTGTTCATGTAAGTAATTAACTTAATTAATTTTCAATCATGTGAGCTAATCAAGTGATTACTCCAATTATTAATTAACAAATCTATTCATTTCAGAAAGGAAGTATTAGAGTTTCTGATGAGCAAACTAATATGAGTAATCAATGGGTACCTACAAGTGAATGGGTTTATCAATGGAAATCGAAACTTCCTTTACAGACAATAATGAGATTATTGCAAGTGTTGGTTCCACAGGTTGAGAAAATTTGTATCGATAAGTAAGTTAAATTTTTATATTTACTAACTTTGAATAATCATATTAATATCAAAGGCCAATGAAATAATTTAAATTATTTTAGGGGTTTAACTGATGAAAGTGAGATTCTCAAATTTCTGCAACATGGTACTTTAGTAGGGCTTTTACCAGTTCCACATCCGATACTCATTCGTAGATATCAAGCAAATGCTGGTACAACAGCTTGGTTCCGTACCTATATGTGGGGAGTAATATATTTAAGAAATGTTGAACCACCAATTTGGTATGATACAGATGTAAAACTCTTTGAAATTCAACGAGTTTAGGAGTAATAATGATCTCACGAGTGCATATATACAAAAAGAAATTTATTTATTCACTAGATTAATACATCTGTACAGTTTTGATGTATGCAATTTAATCAATTACATTTCTCAAAATATTAATATTAATATATTTAAAAAAAACAAATATACCGCTTCATACAGTGCACTACTAATTATGTGTTTATATTATTTTATGTTTAAGGTAATTTTAAATATTTCAATTTTATTTGGTATTATTAAATCATTCGTAATTACTTAATGCATTATTAGTTAAGAACTTTAATGTTAACAGTTTATTGAAAATTATGTACATATATTCTATCTTGTAGCTTTTTCATAAGATGGAGGAGGAGCTTCGTAAGTCGAGGATGATGGTGGTATAAGAATAGCAATATGATAAGGTGGAGGTGAAGGTGAAGGTAGTGTTGGCGTTGGTGTTGTTAAATGTAATGAAGACGCTATTTGTGTAGTTTGATGCTGATTGAGTGATTGTTGCTGCAATCGAGGTAATGTTGACATTAATGTTATTTGTGCAGCTAATTCTTGTTCAAATACTTGCTCGAGTGCCTGTTCTTGTAAATGAGGCGATGTGGGCATCAGTGTTGATGATAAATTTTCTGTGATACACTGATGATTTGATCTGTCATTAGTTACACCTGTTGTAACTGTTGCTATTGGAATTTCTGGTACATGGTAGTGATGATTATTACGAGTACGACGAAAGAGTGTTGAATAAAAGCAGCCAGATATTAATAAAGTTACAAGGAGACCACAAAAGATAAGAACATCTAGACCTTTGTCAGGCTGTAAAAATATTGAATAATTAAAATTTATTTTTTTGGTTAAAAATAACATAAGTAATAATAGCTACCCTGTGTCCGATACAAAATTTAGCAATTGAAACAAATCCAGTTGCTAAAACAAATATAATGAATACGCCGCAACGTAGTCTATAGCCAGCTAATTCTGCACGGCTAATTTCTGCAATCTCCGAAAAGTCTATGATTCCTCTGTTGAGAGTTGGATCATTTGGTAGGACGCGTCGAACATGTGTGGTATTTGTTACTGCATTACTGTAAAAATTGTCAAAGTAAATGAAATGAATATTTGAATATTTTTAAATTTAAGTCAAACGTTTTCAAATTATGTTCTTCACTTTAACTTTTGCCTGTTTAATTATTTATTGACATTGAAAAGGAAAACATTGAATAGTTAATTTGTCTTTGTCAGTAATGTTAATCCAAGAAGTCGGAGTACAGAGGCAAACATGAATGTTTGAAGAGTCACAAGCGAATCACCCTGTATATAAGAAGAACATGTTTCTTCTTCTTGAATCCTTCTAGAAGACCGTGTGTTTTTGAGTTTAATTACTTAGCGATGTTGTTAGTTTGTTGTCCATGGTGTGTTGTGGTTGATTGTCCGGCATTATTACTGCTAACATCATCGGTTCTGGGATGATAAACAACACATCTCCCACAAGATCTTGAATTTGGAGATAAATTTGAACGAATCCTATTAGAAGATACCATTGAGCTTGTTACAGAACTTCTAATCTTTGAATTTCTTCGACCTAAGTTGAAAACCCATTCATTAAATCATACGGTATTTATAATAATAATAAATACATTTATGCTTTTTTTTTTTATTACCAGTACGGTTTTTTAGTAAAGGTATTGATGCTTGGAACGAAGATGCCGGGATAGCTGTTCCAGCCTGATATCTTCTGCATCCACCAATTGTACGGGACCTGCCCGCTGGTTTATTGATCCAAAAATGCATCAGTCAATCCTGGAGAGAGCAATCTTGAAGCACTTGAAGACACAAACTAAAGTTGATGTTTAATAAAAATTTACGTTTTCATAATAATTTAATATTTATTCATTACTAATGAAGTTTTAAACTCAAATTTGGACTTATTTAATTCACTTACAACTTTTGTCAAACATACAGACACGGTTTGATCTAGTTCTTTTATCTACCTCTAAACATTCGTTGATATTAAACATTTACTGTATTTTAGTAATGAATATTTAATACACTAGTTATTATTAGGCTAAAAATAATATATTTTTAATAAGCTATTGCAATTGAAAACCACAGTTTTTCGATGAATTACATTGTCGAAACTTCGTCTGGTTCGAAACAGTTTTAATTATCATTGCTTCTGCGCGTTTCATTGTATGTAACAAAAAATGAAATAAAAAAGTCATGATTAATAGTTAAAAATATTTCATTATTCTAAAATCCATAGTTTTTCTTGTTTATGATGTGTAAAAACATTTAATAGGACGCTTATTTCCTTAAAAAAATAAAAATTTTTAATTTTGTTGAATTTATCATATTTCTGTAATTTTTAAATTTCCCGCTTATAAACACGCCATGCAGTGCTACCCCCTTGCGAGATTGGGAATAAACAGATAGAAACAAAGATGGCGAACCACGACAAAGGACGCAGAAAGTGGATAGAAAATTCGCAAGGTAGGTTTAAAAATTAACGGTATTGTTGAATATTATTATAAAATTATTGTTATAATTTTTAGGAATATTGTCTCAAATTTCTTCATTTTTTGATTATTAAAAATTATCTAACAGTCCATTACACTCTTGGTAAATTTAATAACCTTAAACTATAATTGCGTTAAGTTTTGCAAACATTTTTTGAAAGAATTGTTTTTTTACTTGAGAAGTTTAGTAATTATTTTAGAATTTATTTAACAGACGTAAACGATAGAGAAATTTTTCCGAATTAATTTTCAGGTATGAATTGAAAAAAAAAATAGTAAAAAAACATTTAAAGAAGCAATTCAAACATTTATTGTTTTGCAATGATTATGATGAAATTATGAGAAATATATTTTTTTTCAGAAAATAAATTAATGGGCGGACGTAGAGGAGGAAATAGGGGTCCACAACCAATTTATAGACCTGGTAGTGGCCCGTTAAAAAAATCAGATCGAAGTAATGATGATCCCAATTGTGATGCAAACTTACCTAAGTCATCAGTACAAGATCGCATAAAACATCATCGTAATAATTCTAATGCAAATCAAAAACATTCACCGGATCACCCAGTTGATTTACTCGCTAATAAAATTAATGATATGACTGTCAATCATCATAAACCTGTTAATGATCGATCTAGCGTTTCTGAAAAATCAAATCATTTGGATGGTGATTCTAGGAAGAAGAATAAAAAACCGGAACAGCAATTATATGTACCTAAAAAATTACTTGAATCGACAGCTGAACAGGACATTAGTAATAGGTAAAGTATATATTTTTAATAAATAGTTTACAAATAAAACAGTATAAAGTCGTAGAACAACAAGAGTAGTGACAATTTAAAATAATCATTCGTAAATAAGTGTTCTCAGTGGTAAAGTATTTAGACTTTTGATTTGTTATATTGATAGGAACTTAACACAAGCTGGATGGGATAAAGAAAAGAATCGTAACAACAAGAAAGATTGGGATACACAGCCGTTTAACTATAGTCAAACTACACGTGAAGGTCACCGAGGTAGATCAAGAAAGCAGTCAACAAGTGATATCAGTGGTAATCAGAGTAATGAAAAAAATAATAAAAGTAGAGATGAGCCAGCAAAGCGTTATAGTGGTAATCGAAAGAACCGTAGTATTACGGAGAATGACAAAGATAATTGGCCTTTAGAAACATCTGCTAAAACTTATATTAATAGACGTGAGAATCAATCTCGAAGGAATCTCCGTCAAGGATCTGAATCTCCGAATAATTCAATAAATAGTAATGTTAATAATTCCTATCGTATACGAGATACTCGTAGTGTCGAGTCAGCAAGAGCTGATAAGTTTCCAAGAAAACCACCGTCTGGTAGACGAAATAATAAAATAAAATCATCAAAAATAGATACATTACCTCCAAGATTGCAAAAAAAATACTTAGCTGAAAACGGTTTAGAACCTTCATTGAATATTATTAATAACATTGAAGAGCCTTGGGAAAATACTCAAGGATTGCATAATAATTATCAATATTCACCTAATCTTCAGCAATCTCAAATGACACATAGTTTATCACCAGGACCATCTGGATCGGTTCCACTGCCACAATGGTCGAACACTTTACCAACTCGAAGTAGAGGACGTGGACGGTTTCGACCTGAAGAGTTAGATATACCTATTAATAGACCTGGAACTCCTGATCAATATTCAGCACCAAGTACTAGATCTCATACTCCGAGCCAGGAAGTGATAAGCCGATCATATGATAGACGCGGAAGTAATAGCACTATGTATACGAGCATGGAGAGTCTTAGCCGAGCTGATACTAATTTAATGCCTCCACCACCACGTCCTATATCACCGGTAGCATCGATTTCGAATAATCATAGAAATAAATCAGTTGATCGTAACCGTAGAAGACCTTCTTCTCCATCTTCACACCATAATCAATCTCATCATTCGGAACGTATGAATAATAGTAATAGTGAATCAAATAATATGGAAACATCATTTAAATCACAGAATAATTCTCAAGCGTGTGTTGATTCAACACAAGATGGAAATCTAGATCCATTGTTAGATACACCGACTATATTAGATTGGAGTGAAGAAGTTGAACCAGTGGAAAATGTACAAAATGAATGTCTAAGCCGAAGTTCATCAGTAATAAGTGTTGGCGAGAATCTAAATAACTCTGGGAATAATGCATCAACTAATAGTAGAAGAAATCATTTCTCAAAGAAAAAAACTCGAAAACGAATAAGAAAACGTACTGGAGATTTTAGTAATAGTAGAGACAATAGACGTGAGAATAGTCGGGAAAGACAAAATAATCAATATAATAGAGAAAACGATAATTATAATAATAGTAAAAATAATAGTAATAACAGAAGATTTGATAGTATACGAGGAAGAAACATGATTCATCATAGTAGAGAGTCAAGTAAAGAACGCGGTTTTAGGAATAGATTAGATCTTGAAGAGAATTGGAGAACCGGAAAACGAATATCTGTGTGTGAATCAGAAGATGGAAGAAGTGCCTCTTGTCATACACCTTTGGCTACTAATAATTCTAATCCTATTCAATCAATTTCTCCTGTTAGATCTAATAATATTAATCCACCAGGAGTTTTAATTCTACCTGAGCCTCCTCAATCACCGACAACGTGTACTAAAGTCGATAATAGACCTTCGTCTCGGCAACAGCAGCAGCAACAGCAACATCAACAACAACAACAACAACAACAGCAACGTAAGATTTTATTCGACCCGAATAATCCTAATAAGCCAATCATTGTACCATCACCAGGAAGTAGATCCTCGTTGTCCAATGAAATGTGTGGTCAGTCGTCAGGGTCATCAGGTTATCGTGTATCGCACTTTCCACAGAGTGTGGATAACACACCTCTTTCATATATGGCTGAACACATGAGTAATGCAAAACCTTCTTGGTATGATCCATCCTCAGATAGCCTAAGAACTGCAAAGAATCCTGTTCTTTTATTGGGAATTGAACCCATGGATCGAGAGCTTCAATGGTTGTTAACTTCAGGTGGTCTTGCAGTTAATTGGGATCGTGTTGAGTTTCTTCGTCAATCTCTTCAGCAAAGCCTTAAGATGCTTTTAGAGACAGACATTAAATTCTGCCAAGCAGAAAATGTTGAAAATCATTTTTGGAAAATACTTTTTTATAATATCATTGAAATGTTAAGAAAAATAATGCCAAAAGACGATCCTGAAACACGTGATGTATGTAAAAAAATAATGCTAACGATAATAGATCAAGGCACGTCGTATTTTGAAAATCTCCTGATTGTTCTGGAAAATACGTATAAATTTAAACTTGATTCTTTCTTAACATCATCATCACCACCTACAGGCCTTGGACTTGTTGGTTTGGCTCTAGTTAGTGCTCAAAAAATATTCTTATTTCTTGGAGACTTAGCAAGATATAAGGAGCAAGCTAATGAGACAACTAATTACGGGAAATCACGCCAGTAAGTTTTTATCTATAAATTATTTTGTAGATTTTATTTTATTATTAGAAAATATATTATTATTTGTATGAAAATTAAGTTTGAAGAAAAGGTTTATCAAAATGATATTGAAAAATTAATTTAATATCTATTGTAGATGGTACGTAAAAGCTCAACGGATAAATCCCAAAAATGGTCGACCATTTAATCAATTAGCATTGTTAGCTCATTATGCCGTATGTAAAAAATGTTTATTTGACCTTTAATTGATCCTATTTCATGTCTGTTTTTTACATGTATTTTTTTTATTTATAGAGAAGAAAATTAGATGCAGTTTATTATTATATGAGATCTTTGATGGCTTCGAATCCTTTTCTATCATCAAGGGAGAGTTTGATTGCATTATTCGACGAAAATCGAAAAAAGGTATTATTTAAATTATTATGATTTTCCATTAAAAAATTACAATTTATTTTATAAAATTTTTTACATTTTCTGCTATCAGTATCTACATTATGTAAGTAACATTTATTTGTCATAAAAATCTGTGATAGTATGTACGCTCTATAATTATAGATGCTTAAATATTTTTTATTTATGTTTATCAATGTTAAAAATAGCTGCGGAAATAAATGCCTAATAAAACTTCAAAAGTGTTTATAAAAGCTTAAAAAAAGACTAATTGCAACGTATTCTTTCATGAACTTGTAATATTTATTCATACTTTCTATCTAGACATTTGTATGCATATTAGTAATTAAGTTTGTTTGTTTAGTATGAATCAACAGAGCGAAAACGTAAAGAAGAACGTGAATGGAAAGAGCGAGCTCGAATGAAAGAAAAAGAAGGTGCAAATAATATTACAGGTGGATTAAGAAGAGAAACGTGGTATCATCCCGATGGAAAAAAAATGAGACGTACAACATCTACCGCAAATGCTAGTGAAGTAAAGTTAACACAGAGTGACTTGGAAGACTTGGCACAGCTCAGCAGTGTTGAGGTATAAATTATACATAATATTTTATTTATATCTTATTACTTTAATTACATGTAATTCAAAAATTCAATCGTTTGTATTATTTTAATTTAATATTTCCTTAGGTTAATAGACGGTTTGTTACATCTTATCTTCACGTACATGGGAAGCTCATAACAAAAATAGGGTAAGTGATTTATTTTTATTTTTTATTTTTCTTCAACATTGAAAATAAAATCAACTTTTATTTTCTTACATGATGGAAATGTCTTCCGTTTTAGAAAGACTATTGGTTTCTTTGAATTTTTGTTTAAACATAATGGTAAAAAGTATCAAGTATTAAGAAATGTATGTTTGACGAATGTACAGTTAATAAGTTGAAGGAAGTAATTTGTTAAGTTGTTCTATTGAGTTTTTAAATAAAAAATTTTTAAGTATGAATTACTTTTACCGATTGCGATGTACATTGGTGGATGAATGTAAATAGTAGGTAGGGTAAAAGGTGCGAAAAGTTGCTTCATTTTACTGCTATTCTAAGAACTTACAAGTTTTCTTTCGTTTGTACTTGGAGTAGGGTAAAATAGCGAATAAATAAAGAGATAAAGAAGAGAGAAAAGAAAGTTAGAGGATGTATGTGCTTGGGTGTGAAACCATTTTACGGTTCACAGGTGTAAGAAAGACGTTGGTAATAATTTTGCGGAAGATGAAAGCAAGTGGTATAACAAAGAGAAAGAGGGGAGCTGTAAGATGTCGGCTGCAAGGAGAATTTTTTATGACAAGGATAACGTCTATGTTATCATGAACAGATGAATGACCAAGTTAGAATACACGTGTTTGGAAAAAATTAAACAATTAATAATTTTATTCATATTAACGTATGAACAAGAAGTGACTTGTCATAAGTGAAGATTTATCTTATTTTCTTATTGTTAATTGGTAGAGTAATATTCACCACAAAGCGGTGGCGTGAGTTTAGAGGTGTGACGTTTCTTTCTTGACATTGATAAAAGACTCCCTTAACTTGTAGACGATAACGTACCCATCGTAGTGACACTCTTCCTCTTTCCTTTCTGTTTATAGTTGTTACTTACCTCACAAGTTCAATGTACCATCATTGTGTTGCTCTCAAGTTTCCGGAAACTATCGTATAAGCTCTTTTAGCTTACTCTAAGGGTTATTCAATATTCTCAGAAGCAACCAATAGCTATTTATTTAGTTTTCATAGTTTTTGTTCTGGATTAATTGAACATTCAGAAGCAGAAATTAAATTCATAATTCAGTAGAACATGAAGTCTTTCTACAAAGGACATGAAGTAAATATAATAAATGTTTTTATGCGTCCGGAAAGTATGTATGTGGAGGAGGAGAAGGAAGAATAAAAAAAATATTTGATCCTCCCTCCGCGTATGATGATATAAACAACCATCAGCAATCCATTGCATACATAATCATAATGAAATGTATCCAGGGGTCTATATGTGTCTCGGTAAGGAAAGAAAAGAGAGAAAGAGAAAAGATTAAGAAGGATTCTTGTTGGTTCTCGCTTCGCTCCATGTTTTCTTGCTTGGCGGTAAAAATGTTAATTGACAATTGCGTGGCGCCAGTGACCACGGGTTCTCACCAACCTTCTCCTCGATCTACCATTTATCGCATTCTACATACCGGGTGTTCTTTCAACCACCATTTTCATTTAAATAATTTCCGTATTATTAGTAGTAATGTCCATTTTATAGATAAGTAAATCTCAAGTCATCCTTACCAATGTGTTATATTACTACGTTTCACCAATTGTACTGACGATTATTATATCGTATAGATTATTACAGAACTAGTTAGTGTTCTATCGTCACTTTAAACACATTACCACAACACAACAGCTCACATGATACCACACATGATATCCCTGATGGTCGTTTACCTGTGGCAATGCTCGTGTGACGACCCCGCCCGCTTCAAGGACATTCTTGGACACACCACAAACTCGAGAGATGCACGAGACTATCTGAAGATAGCCTGAGTGCACTGGGCACATGTATAAGTACTGAATTCCTCACATCCATCCTGACACAACGATCCCCAATGTCGTCAATTAGCTATTGTGTCTTTTCTTTGGATCATTTTTCCTCTTATTTCTTATTCTCCAGTGCCCTTTTTTCTTGTTTTATAGAATTGTCCTTTTTTTTTTATGTTTATTTTACATTCTGAAAAAATCCTTTTGAACTTTATTCATTGCTTTTTGTAACTTCATTCTTTTCTATTCTTAAAAGAAGTTATTTTTCATTTGTTTTATCAATTTATTTTGATGCTTAAAGGGTTTTTGTATTTTACTTTAATTAATTCCACTTTTATAACATTTCCATGTATTTAAAAAAGGATTTATTCTGTAGAATTTAATTAGCTTTTCTGTTGTGTGTTTTGTATATAAAAGGAAATTTTATCTCGTTGACTAGAGATTAAATTTATTTATAGTTTTTATATTTTAATAATGTTTCTTAGTAAAAGATAATACTTCAACTAATTTTTAAATTATTTTTATTAATTATAAAAAACATGATACAAATAAATAATTGGTTCTTCCTTTCGAATAATTTGTCCATGGCATTGAGATTAGTAGTTTATGTAAACATCTTAAAATGTCTGTTAAACGGATTATGTTAGAGTTAACTGAAGAATAATTAGCATGACAGGAGTAGTGAGATAAAATATAATGGTGAGTTGAGGTTTAAAACGGCTCGATGACATGCATAAAGTACATTGAATTGATTGTCAGGGGATAATGTTTGAGAAAAAATAAATAATTAAATATGGAAACGAGACTAGAAGTGTGAGAGAATGGTTGTAAGGCAATGGTTCTTACCTATCGTCTCGCATGATATTGGCGCCACAAGTAAGATTGGACATGAGTGCGTGCATGCATGCGTACCTTTATTCGTACCCAAGAGCCATTTGCATTCGATCTAACTACTACTTTTATTCCTTCTTATTTTCATTAATTCTTTTCTTAAATCTCATATTGAGACAATCTTACTCCATTGCTATCATCCTTAAGTATACTTCCTCAAGTATCCTTCTTTCATCATTACACTTATTATTAATCTAAATCTCAAATTGAATATTGAGCTAATAGTTGAGTTGAAAAAAAATAGTAAACTAGTTTGATATTGATAATTGACATTAGAGATTTTAAAAAGCTATTAATACATTAGTTATACTTTGTAATGATTAAAAAAACATGATTATTTAAACAAACAAACAATGGAAGAAAATTTATTGTGACACTAAGTATCTTAACAATGCCACAAGCAATAAGGCATTGATGAGTTGCGTGTTCCTTTCTTCTGCTTTGTCGCTTTTTCTTTCCCTTATTCCTCTGTCCCTCAGCTTGAAGGGTAGCAAAAACTACTGGTAATTCTTCACACGCGAAAGAGGCAACATTTCAGCTGAATAAAATAAAACAATTTCCGGCCCACAAGACTTGCACTCAAGTCTGTCTTTCATGGTACTTTTTGGATTTTTATTTGATTTTTTCTTCTTCCTTTTTTTCTTGTCCTTCGACTTTAACGTATTGATCTCTTTTTTCTTTTAATGATTTCCTTTTTTCAAATAATTTTATCGCGTTGTCATATTTTTTTTCATTATCATCTCTTATCTGTGTCTGAATGTCTTTTACTACTGTTTTACCACCGGCATCAGTAGTTAAGTACAGTGTTAGAGCAGCCCGAGGTTACGTCACGAATTCTCGAGATTACAACATGAGTGGAGGGATCACAAGTGAGACGTTACATCCCGTAAATTTGCCACTGTACTTCGTGGCGGCCGCTAGGGCTGTGGGAAGATAACCGAGGCGTATGTTGTTTGTGTTTACGGGAATACCGCCATGAGGATAAAAGGAGATGGAGGACCGAGAAGAGAAAAGAGCCAGTTGCCAAGGGTCTCTCGAGTTGTTGCGATACCACGATGCGTCTTCCTTTATCATTCGTTCCGCTGCGGCACAACGTGACTCCATCGTCGGTTGTTATCCGCATGAGCAAATCATAGATACTAGATGAAAACGATAATGCCATCGGAATTCTCTTATCATTTTCTATCCTTACTAGATGTTATTTCTCAAGTCCATTATTCATAGCTCGAAAAGCTTATATTTTAACAATTAATAACTAGCCTGTAGAAAGGCTTATCAACGGAAGTAATAATGTTGCTTGATTTTTAATTATTTACTGTTTCTACAATTGGAATTTCTAGATATTCTAACCAGGAAACGAATTTAAATATTACTATAAAGTAATCATATATAATTAATTTAGTTTTTTTATAGTGGATAATAAAATGCAGGATATCAGTGTAAAATCAATGATTAAACATTCTTTTTTCACTAATTGAAAATAAGTATATAAAATTAATAACGATTATTTACATTAATTAGTGATAGCATACAATATTTATTGTAACTATAAAAGAATAATTGAAAATTATGTAATTATTTTTATAATAGATTTGATCAAATTATTTCTATTAGAATTTATATTTTTCAAAAAACATTAATACTGTTCTTTAAGTTTATAATAATAGAAATTGTTTTCTCTTAGATTACCAGAGAATTAATTTTCAAAAGTATGCAGTTGGAAATTGGCTACTGCATTCCATCTCACCTTTTCTGTAAGATATACTGTATCACTTTCAATACCCTAAGATCATGCTACAAGTGCTGCTAGTGTTGCAGCAAAATCTGCACAGCAAAAAGTTGTAGCAGATCAGGGTACATTTATTATTATAATAAGAATTGAATTGACTTGAAAAATGAAAAAAAAAACTGGTTGAATTAGTAGTAGTAGTAATATAGTTAAGTAAATGAAAGGATTAAAAAATGTTTTGGTTTACATATAGGTATATCATTTGAATTGCTATTTAAAATTACTTCTAGATGTTTTACATTTAGTTATTTTAATTTTTTGTTTTATCCGTATCATTTTCCATTGTTCTAACCGATGTAGATCGTGTTGATTGGTTTAATAGTACTTAAGTCAACTTTCATATCTGATCTAATCCGGAAGAATGATGTAAAATGTTTATGAATGATTTGCAAACATTAATTTTAAAGTAATGCTAGCTCTGATGAATACATAAATTTTAACGAATTTTGTTAGTAGATTTTTTATTATTGCAAGAAGTTTCAATATAATTAGATATTTAAATATTTTTATTTAAAAATCTTTTCTTTTGAATATATTTTAATAAATGTATCTATAGATTCTTTTACAAGTATTGTTTTATTGAATCATAAACTCCAAAAGTAGAAAACTTACTATTGACTTTGAGCTTTTATAACTTTCTCTGTAAAGTTTTACCCTAACTTTTCAAGTCACAACTCTACACCAACAACGTAAAAAAAAAATTTCGAAACTTGATGTGTTTTTTTTTGAAAAATATTACTGAACTTTATCATTAATTTACAATAATGTAAATTTTAAATGGTATTATTTTCTAAAAATAGATATCAATTGAGTATGAAAAGTTATGAGAAAAATAGTAGATTTACATTTAGAATTTTTATTTACTAATGATTTAAACGTCTAGAAGTTAAAGACCAAGTGGAATAAGAAAACTGAAATGATAGAAAAAAAAAAAAGACGAGACTTGCACGGCGTGAGGTGAGTGCATTAACAAGGGGGAAGGAAGAAAGAAATATATAAGATACAGAAATAGAAGAATGTAAAAAAGAGGAAAGCTACTACTTACTTCTCTACACTGCTTAAGTAATAACAGAAGGGCTTGTTGAGGAGCTGTGTCCATATAATAATGTGTACAGCGATATTAGTAGCTGCTTTCCGTTATCCTAATTGCGAGTAGCTATGAGAATTATACATCGAGTTAATTTAACATCTACGTTGTTTCTGGTTAACTATCTTCAACGATTGGCTTTCATATATACATGCATAATGCTTTTGAAAAAGATGCATTCGCAAAAAGACGATTATCTATCGTTAAATTTCTTCTCTACTTATGTCTTACTTCTGCATATCAACAAAAAATTATGGAGATTCAGGTTGTATAAATGTCCATGTTCACTTATTTATTTATTTTTTACTAAAATAGCTTACTGATGTGTCAGCTATATGAATAAGTAGTAAGATGGTGAATAATTCGTTTGCTAACTTACTCGAAAGTCACGCCTGTGGATGTTCAGACGTTATTATAGGTTCAGCAAATGGAGCAAGGTTGTCGAGCAAGTGTCTTCTATAACAGCCACTACATTACTACTATGATTTTTTATTTTTCACTATCTTGTCATTCATAAGCTTTATTATTAAATCTTTCATTTTTGCTACCTTTTTGATTATTCAATCAATTTTATTATAAATTTCAATTTATGTTCAACCAATAATTCTTCTTCATTTTAATGATCAAAATTGAAGGTTCATTAATGATAGGATTTCTTAGTTATTGACTATGAAATAATCACTGAATCTTTATCGAAGATGTTTTTAATTAGATTACCATATTAATAACGAATTTAATAATTATTTACATTATTTTACACCAAGATTATACAAATCTTACAACACATTTCACTTATTATTTGTTTGTTTTAAAATTGACTCTAAAATATACAAAGTATTAATAATAATAATAATTATTATTATTATTATTTATTTTCGTTTATGTTTTTATTTATTTATTTATTAAGCTTTATTTTTGTAAAATACTATATAATTATCTATCAATACATTTTTTTTACTAAATAATATTATAATTAACCTCACATAAGAATCGCATAAAAAAGAGACTTCATGATTGATTATATACGAATCTAGTGATTAATAAATTTTTAATTTTAAACAATACGTAACAATAGTAGAAACATAAAAATAACAAAATATTTTTAATTCCAGAATGGAAACCTTCCAAGAAGCTGGCATTCAAATGCTCCGAGAGTTTCGAGCTCTTCTTCAGCATTCACCATTACCACTTCCTGGTACGAGGCTACTTCAATTGCTCGCTCTCAACATGTTTGCAATTGACTCAACAAAGTTAAAGGGTAAGTAAATGTTTCAATAATTGTTTTTAATTGTTTACAGTTGATATTTTAGAGTATTCACTTTGTGTTATTCATAACACATTTAATATCAAAGTAAAATGAAGATCTGAGTAAAAGGGGTAGTATTAAGTAGTATAGCCTTTGGCAATTGGCAAACAAACGTTGGATACGGTATCTTGCTGCATAAATTCAATGGCTGATTACTGGATAGTGTTTATGATTTCAATTACCATTGATAAGTCATTACTTACCCGTCATATTACCTACTGCTTGGAGGCAAGATGAGGAATAAAAGAAAAGTAAAGGATAAAAGGATAAGAAGATGAGAAGATGAGAAAATGAGAGGATGGTTTACGTTGGCGCCGCGACGCCTTGGCACCAGACTTACAGCATTCCTTTTGAAACGTTTTGATACCATCTTCGTGAAAACGAGTCTTTAACAATTTTATTTAATAAATTATCTTTTTTCCCATTTCTTGTCGGCCACGTAATTAAATAATGAATTATTTTCACCACGAAAGTCTAGGACATAGTCATTTAATAGAAATTTACTAAAAAATGCATTTTTCAACGTCGTTATGTACATCATCGCATACTTGAAATATTCTTGTCGAGCAGCAAAAATTAGTTGAATCGTTTTTAATTTCACTAATAATTAAACTGACATATTTTCTGTCATTATTTACATACAATTTTATTCATACTTAATTATTATTTTCTTTCAGTGTAAAGTAAATAGATATATTCATTATCATTAATTAAATTTCTATTTTCTAGATATTATTATAAAGAATCAAGTAGTATAAACGATTTATTTCATTAAGTTATATTTTTATAACAGTATATTTTTCATTTAATTAACTTGATTAGATCATAATTATGACATTGATGATCCAGATTTTTTATTGTATTATTTTATGTTTATTCCTTTTTTTAATGACTAAGGAAGTTGAATATATTTAAAGTTATTAGTTGTAATGAAAATGAAAATAATGATGAGTAACAGTTTCGAAAGAGATTAAATAATTTAGAACAGTTACCAGCATAGTTAAGTGGAGAGATGCTTATGCGACAATTTCTTAATTTATATGTGTCACTAATTAGACGATTATTAATTTCATTACTTGCTTAAGATCATTTTTTTCTAAATTTTTCCATTTAAAAATATAGCAAATGAATATATAAATAATAATATATCAGTCATTAACAATCAATCAGATATTTTTTGAAAATTAAAATAAAAACTATTCACTAATGAATTATTTTTTTATTAATCTGAAAAGTTATACATGAATATTAGAGCACATTTTTCATGTGAAATAAAATTAACTATTTAAAGAATTTTACCAAGTAATCTTTTTAACTATAAAAAATTTCCAAGTATTCAAAAAAATGGTTCAAAGAATGTTAAATGTTTAAAGTAGGGTCTAATAAGACTTAATTGACCTAATTTTTTGTGGTGAATAATTTATAGATATACATAAACGATAGAAGAGCAATATATTAAAATAAGAATAACTAATAGGTTATTTAAATATTTTTTCAAGTGAATATTTATTAACATAATTTCGATTGGATCCTAATTATGACATTAATAATGTAGTTCTAATAAATTATGCAATATTTATTGCCTTGATCTAGGATAATGATTATGAGCAGAAAGTAAAAAATAATTTGAGTGATGTTAGTGACACGATTAGGTATTTGATGTATTGGTTATCAGTATAAAGTAGTTAATAATGCTTGTAACGGTTTTAAGCTTGGACTATTTCAATTTTGCGGTCTGAAGAAGTGAGTGTAGTATAAGATACGCGTCCACACGTCAAGACCTCCTGAGGGCTCAAAAGAGATGATGAAGAGACTACGTTGATGACTGTAGATAGATAACCGCAGAAATGATTACCACGGGATGTCTCGGGTAATCCATTAGACCACAGAACCACAGATTGGTGAAGGCGCCATGATGCTCAACCGTAAGGTCGCTTACTTATCCTCAGGGATGTAGTGGCAAGAAGTCACATTATAGTCACTCTCTTGTTGGCCTTTTGCCGTCCTGCAAAACCATTTTTCGTGTCAGAATTAATTTGGCAATTAAGTTGCACGAAAGTGTCTTAACACTGCAGGAGTCGTAAAACCAGACTCGATAAATCTGTCTTTTGAGATTAAGCGGTACAAGCTTTAAATTATTATTTTTACTTTTACTTATATTATTCACCTGATGGATGAAAATATCTATATACACATTTCTGTCATTCATTTTTTCATTACTTTTTGCTGCACGCGATTAGATTACTTACCATTTTAAATCATTATTGCATGTATATGTAATTATATTAGTGATTTTAGTTTTCATTTTCTTGAAGATATTTTAATTAAACTGTTAAACTTTTTAAAAATATATCTTTCATCATTATTTATTCATGGAATTATGAATTAAAAAAATTGATATTGATTGGATACTTTTTAAGTATGATATTAAGTTTAATTTCATTTTTTAATAACATAAAAATATTTCTATTATTTAATTCAATATATTGAATATTAATTTCGGGATAAAAAAAAAGATTTTCTTTGATTGCTTTTTTGATACTTTTTATTAACTTCAAATTAATCAGTTCAAGTTAAAATAATAACAGCTGAAAAATAAGACTGAGTTACAATTTAATAAATAATCTCAAAAAATAGTAAAACAATTTTCCACGAAAGTGTTTAAGATGCATTATAATTTTCTTCTAATTACACATATTACTAAAAACAATTATTTCTTTCATGATAATTGATACAATAATAATATAAAAAAAATTGATCTTTGTGAATTCCTATCATTAATAGTATAGAAAAAAATTTTTATCATATACACTTAAATTATATTTATCACTGGCATATATAAGGTTATCCATATGTATAGTTTATTGAAGTTGTTTCTGGGTAAATTGATGATACTCGTTTTCCTATTTTTTATCATTATTTTGACTTGAACATGTTGATGAAATCCATGAGTCGTTTTCAACTCAAAGGAGCGAACAAAACACTCTTGTGATGCAGATGATGCAAGATTATAGACATTAGGAACATTAGCTCTGTCTTATATGTCGGCAATATGATTGTGGAAAAAGATAGGAATTGTACTTGACTACGATGTGCTCTTCGTCGGTCATTCTTGTCAGATAGTGAATTTTGTACGTGACAGACACTAAGTGATTTTCGGACCTTTTATCTTGCTAGAATAATTCAATAAAATACACATCAAAGGGACATGGAAAAATGGGAAATTATTGAAAAATTTATTGAATAAATAGATGGAATATAAAGAAAAAAGTGCATTAAAAAGCTTCGATAATTCATTAATGAAATACTTCAATGTTTTTGAAAAATTTCTGATTGATTTTAAAAATATTTTTTTAAATATTGATAAATTATTTGAAGTAAGAAAATTATAATATAGTATGACGATAAAAAATAGCTCCCTATAAATTATTATTCATAGGGATGGTTATTGAGTAAAAATGATCATTTTCCATGGACATTAAATTGCTGTTTATGGGTAAAATAAAATAAATTAAGCATCCAAAATGTATGATAATGATAAAACATATTTCAATATTTTTTAAGTTTGTAAAAAATATGTTTAAATTAAAAAATTTAAACGGCTTTCGTGAGAGCTCTTATACTTACAGGGAAAGGTTTAGTAAGACGTTATTCAAGTAATGCAATTAAGGTTGATGATGTGTAGCTCATAAGCTGTTGCTCTTTCCAAAAATAACCTACAGCTGAATTATTAAAAGTATGAACCCTTACGAAGAAGACGCAAAATTGTCGACTTTAACGTAGGTATAGAAAATATTACCGAGGCCAACTTGTTCAGCGGGCGTTCCTTCAGTGATATAGTACAAGTATACTGACTATACTGAGAGTTACATCTGTTTTTATTAAAGTTATTATGCTAAATTACCTCTGGTGCGTTTCGAAGGTTTTATTTTTAACTTTTCAAGCTATAAAACACACGCCAATGGTATTTCTAATTATTTTCAAAATTATGGAGGTTATATTGTCTAGAAAATTTTCTTTATGCTTTTTATTACTTTTTTTTTATTATCAAAAAAATATAACACAACATCAAGTTCAGTTTGGTAGCTTAAGATTGATTGAAATTGAAGACTAATTATTTTATTTCGTGTTAAATTAATAAAAATCATCTTTTTATTTTTTTTTGATAAAAAATAAATTGCAACGATTTCAAATAAATTATCTATTTGATTCTAATGTCTTTGAAAATATTACACATTGAACATATTTTTTTTCTGCCATTTTTTAAATTAATTTATTGATTTATTTATTATTAAGTATATTATAATACTAGTTGCCAATATTTTGTCTAATTTTCCGATTAATATAAAGTGTAGGTGTAAAATTTTCAAATTCATTTCAAGGTAATCTTTTGTTGTTAGTAAAATTTATGAATGCTGAAAAATATTTCAACAATATTGTACGAATGTAAATAGACATTTTTGAATAATCGACATTAATCTGAAAGGTAGCTTTTACGTTTTAAATAGCGAGAGTGAGAAAGCGATACTATAGGATTTAACATGAAAGGGTTGACTTATGGTTTTAGTCTGACTACTGCCGGCTTTATACCCTAGATTATGGAATGAATTTGGTATGAATTTTCATTTTGTCGTTATTATGATTTTAAAATTTATGTCTCCATATTTTTTCATTCATAAATTCCTTTTTTTTTAAATCTCTAACAAATAAAGAAAATTCACATAAAACCTCTGCAACAAGCACAACAAAAAAAAGATATTTAACAAATATAACTTGCAAATTGTAATTCAAATACAAATTTTAAGAAGAAATCAATGCACTATAAATCTCAATTTTCCAAAATGCTTTATTTTAATTCGGATAAGTGTGTTAAATATGATGTTACTTATTTGATTAACATTGTAGTCATTTTTAATGCAGTTCTAAGTGTGTAAAAAGTGACTACAATGTTA